TGAATATAGTTATAGTAACTTTCAAATTCAAGAGATACATTTGATCAACATAGCCACACTTGTCAGTGAGAAGACATTATCTATATAGAAAAACTTGAATTTATTGTAAATAAAATTGAGAATGGAAACGGGGAATGTGTCAAAGAGACAACAACCCGACCAAAGAGCAGAAAACAGTCCAAGGCCACCAATGGGTCTTCAACACAGCTAGAAAACATGTATGATGGTAGCTTATTTTCATTCGGTCATTTTCATTCTTCTTTCGAAGTCTGCCTCATATACAGTTGGTGAAAGGAGGAGCATACTTGGTTCCAATAGGCATTGTGACTTCTGTTAAAAATGACTCCATGTTGTCTTTTAAAAAGAAAAGCCGATGATCGTGATGCTAAGCTCAGACAATCGTATTCGAATCTGAGTGGTTTTCACAAAGTATAATTTGCCCATTTCCTAAAACAGGATATACTTTACGAAAAAAAAATGTTTGAACTAACTGTTCATGCTTAGACCGGTAAATACGTGTGTAAAGGATTGAGAAGTCAAATCTTGCATGTATACTGCTGTACAAGCAGAGGGCTTAAATTATATTAAATACACTCAACAGACCCCTGCATCATACCGCTCACAGTAAGCAGCCCCACAGTAGCTTTGAAGCTCTAGATTTTTAATTGCTCATAGAATAAATGACCTAGAAATATAACGGTAGGACACATAAGAAATAATTGTATCCAGTAGAGTGAAGGAGGATTCAGTTCTTCATCTTTAGGGAGCTACCATTTGATTTTTAGGGGGGGGGGGGCTAGGATGAAATTTGAAAAAAATAGGCAGGACAGGAGTTTTGAGTAAAAAAAAAAGGCAGGATGAGACACTTTGCAAAAAAAAAGGCAGGATGACAATTTATGTAAAAAAAAGTCAGGATAAACTAAAACAAGAGGCTCTCAAGAGCCTAAATCGCTCACCTGTATTTCAGAGGAGAAGATTTTTAAATGTTACCAAACTTGATGAACAAATTGTGTAACATTGTCTTTAAAGGGCAATAACTCCTTAAGGGGTCAATTGACAATTTTGGTCATTTAACTTTTTTGTAGATCTTACTTTGCTAAACATTATTGCTGCTTACAGTTTATATATATCTATAATAATATTCAAAATAATAACAAAATTCTGCAAAATTTTGTTAAAACTACCAATTCGGTGGCAGTAACCCAACAATGGGTTGTTCGATTCGTCTGATAATTTCAGGGCCGATAGATCTTGACCAATTAAACAATTTTACCCCATGTCACATTTGCTCTATAAGATTTAGTTTTTGAGATATAAGCCAAAAACTGCATTTGACCCTTATGTTCTATTTTTAGCCATGGCGGCCATGTTTGTCGATGGATACAAACTTCGGATACAATTTATAAACAAGATACCATAAGGAACATTTAGTTAAAGTTTGAAGGTAATTGGCCCAGTAGTTTCAGAGGAGAAGATTTTTAAATGTTAGCAAACTTGATGAACAAATTGTGTAAAATTGTCTTTAAAGGGCAATAACTCCTTAAGAGGTCAATTGACAATTATGGTCATATTAACTTTTTTGTAGATCTTACTTTGCTGAACATTATTGCTGCTTACAGTTTATATATATCTCTAATAATATTCAAAATTATAACAAAAAACTGCAAAATTTTGTTAAAACTACCAATTCGGTGGCAGCAACCCAACAATGGGTTGTTTGATTCGTCTGAAAATTTCAGAGCTGATAGATCTTGACCAATTGAACAATTTTACCCCCTGTCAGATTTGCTCTAAAAGCTCTAGTTTTTGAGATATAAGCCAAAAACTGCATTTGACCCCTATGTTCTATTTTTAGCCACGGCGGCCATGTTTGTCGATGGATCAAAACTTCGGATACAATTTATAAACTAGATACCCTAAGGAACATTTAGTTAAAGTTTGAAGGTAATTGGCCCAGTAGTTTCAGAGGAGAAGATTTTTGAAATAGTTTACGACGACAGACGACGGACGCCAAGTGTTGGCATAAGCTCACATGGGGCCCTTTGGGCCCCGGTGAGTTAAAAAAAAGGCAGGACCGAATAGAGTGAAAAATAAAAGGCAGGACAGAGATTACGACTAAAAAAAATGCAGGACAAAATTTTTCATCCTAGCCCCACCCCCATAAAAATCAAATGGCAGCTCCCTTCTTTGAAATTTCAAAGGATACAAAACAGACCTATAATTGTATAGTATTTCCTCTTGATTCGTAAGTCAATAAGCGTGAATAGATTACACGTTGGGCTGCCAAGTGAATTGTCCATACATAGTTGTCTTATCAAGCAGTTGATATAATGCGAATTATACATATACACGATATCATTTGAGGTTTAACCTTTGTATATTTGTCGTGTACAAATTGCGATTTTGTACATGTTATAACTTGAACAATGCAAAAATACAAGTTACAACATGTACAAAATTACCTCGTACATTTTATACATGTACGAAATATTGCTTAAAAATGGTTTTAACTTGTACAGAATTTGAAAATAAAGCTGAATATATATTTGAAATTTATTAAATAATAAAGAACAATAATCAAAAGCAAAAGAAAAGTGCATTATTTACAGCTTGCATAAAATACTACATTTTCATCATTTTAGAAACCAGTTTTGTTTACTTGTAGCTACAAGACAGAGACATGTGGCACCTAGAGTTGCACAAAACTTCCATTCTTCTACATTTACACCTACCAGATTTACGATTTTCTTTCTTACATTGACAATGCACAAGACCTTGCCCTTCACTCAATAATATCGACATATATACAAGCACGTTTAATGAAGGTTTGACAGGTGTCTAGCAACATTTGGGTATTTGAATCAATATTTATTTTATGATCTAATTTGAAAATGTACCAAAAATATTCAATTCATTATTGAATAGAGCAAAAAGGCACTTAGTTATCAGGACCTGGTAATCAAATCATTATTTCCTCTATGACCAAACTTTAAATAAGCACAATAAATAGCAGCTTGGCATTTAAGGGCGGAATCAACTTGCAACAATAGCATGGCAACTGCTGCTACAGAATTTATTGAAAATCCAAAGCATACATGTGGTTAACCCTGCCACATCCTGTTTGTGCCTGTCCCAAGTCAGGAGCCTGTAATTCAGTGATTAAAATTGAGAATGGAAATGGGGAATGTGTCAAAGAGACAACAACCCGATCAAAGAGCAGAAAACAGCTGAAGGTCACCATTGTCGTTTGCTGCTGTATATCATATTTATTTACTACTGAATGGCATATATACATAATACTTAATCTGTTATGATTGATTGTGGCTTGATAAACGTGTCAACAATTACAATGAATGATGATTGATTTCCTTATAAAAATAAAGATTGTGCAATGGCGGTCATCTTGTTTCTTGATAAATGGATGCTTAATTTCCAGTGGCAAATATTACATGTATATTCAGGATAACATTTTATTGAGATATGAATATATCCTGGTTTGTAAAAGTCTCACACGCTGAGTCAGATTCTTGAGCGTGCTAGCTCACAAGGTGTGCCATTAGACATATTACTCTACACCTAGGATTAAATTGTCAAAATTTTTACCTTTCCCTTTCTGAAGATTTCTATGAAAGATCTGCAATTTGTGAAAACCCACATGCATTCAGATAATTTGACAATATAAAATCTTGCCATAATGAACACAAATTTTGTCCAGGAAGAAATTTTTGCCTTATTCGTGTCTAGCAACAATGTTTTTATATCATTTATAACTAAACAAAGAATATACACAAGTCTGAAGGACAGACAATTTAAGTCTTACACTTGCTAGAAGCTGATATAAAGCTTGAATTATAAGGTGTTTTGAGTAAATAAATTAATGATAACATAGTAGGGAAACAGTGATTTTAACTTAATGCTTGAAGAAGATCAGTTTCAACTACATATAAGTGGTTTTCTATTACATGTACATATTTTTTTATTTGGTCAAAACAGAATTATAGAATTTTGAATTCCTTTGTGCATGACATTGATGTAATAATTATGTCAAACATACATAACATTATTTGCTGCCTTATCTAAGTTTAGATCTTATTCTAGGTATAGAGGGCTTCAGATTTTCAGTTTTTACATTGTTATCCTTATAGTGTTTATATGTTTGTCAGAAATGTACATGACTATGTTTTATTTACTTCATTTAGTGAAAATGTTTACTGTCGAAAGATTCTCTTAATCAACTGTAGTTTTTCCTAAAAAAAACCAAATGCAAAATGGGTAAAAAAAAGTCATCATTTAAAGGCAATAACTCCTACAAGGGGACATTTGATGATTTCTGTCTAGTCGACTTATTTGTAGATCTTATTGTTCTGGTTATTTTCACTGTTTAAATTTTTTATCTGTTTTCAAGAAAATGATCCAAAACTGCAAAATTTGTAAAGGGCAATAACTTGAAAATGGGTTGTTAAGATTTTTCTGAAAATCATGCAGGTAATAGACCTGCTGATCAAAACCAGATTTGCTCTAACTGCTTTAGTTTTTTAAAAAGATATAAGCGAAAAACTTATTTTACTAATATTTGACATTTCAGGGGCAATAACTCCAAGATGGATTGTCCACTTTTCTGAAACTTCCCCAGGAGATAGACTTTGACCTGCTGATCAGTTTAATCATATGTAAGACTTGCCGTTACTGCTCAACTTTTTTTTTAGATATAAGCCAAAAATGGCATTTAATCACTATGTTCTATTATAGCAAAAGCGGCCATGTTTATTGCTGGATCAAATCTTTGCATAAACCTTTTAAACTAGATACACTAAGGAAGATTCATGTAAAATTTGGTAACAGATGGCCGAGTAGTTTCAGAGGAGAAGATTTTTATAACAGTTTATGATAACGGGACGGACAACAGACAAATATGACGGACTCCAAGTGATGGCAATAGTTCACATAGGCCAAGTAAGCTGAAAAGGAAGGATTAACAATAAATAACTATAAAACACTCATTCATTTTAAGTTTTTATTACCATTTCTCTTAATTTCTACAGATTTATGTACAGTGTTCATTTCACTAGTTAACAACTGCAATGATTGATTACAACATACGGCACAGCTAGTTATCTCCCCTTTAACAAAACAAGAGAGTTACCACCCCTTATAACAAATAATAAATGAGATCAAAAATACAAAAACAACAGAATTGCACAAGGAAGGAAATGTATCATAATGTCAAGTTCTCCACCATTATTTGAACGCTAGAACAAATAAAAATAACATTGTGCTCTCAGATTCCAAGTCAGACTATTGTTCTATTTTGTTTTTGCAAGATGAAACTTTGAAAACAGCACTTACAAAGAAGAATTTCAAAACAAACAGAAAAGCCCTTCTCTCTACACTTTCCAGTTTGGTCTCCAAATCCAAACATGTCCAATGGTCATTTTTCATATTATGAATATTGAAGCACCCATTAAGAGGATATTTAACAATACCAATTTTACTGCACCAGATACATATTTTGATGTGATGCTCAAGGCTAAATATTTGAAAAGCCAAAACTTATAAAAATAGTGGAGTGGATAAAAGGAAAAAGGACCTCAAGTATAGTCTTTCTTAATATGGGCATTTATGTCAACTAATCAAAAACAATTTCTGAATTTACACCTGTAGGTGCTTTTATGTTCCATAGTAAAATGTATGACCACTGGATATCATTAGATTTAAGACTACATGTACCTAACTTTTTTTTATATGATAATGTTCTTTATCGCAAAAGATTTATATATCATTTGAAAAAAAAAGTCACAATAATGCTTTCTTTGTCATGCTCTTATCTCTTCAATTATATTAACAGAATTCTTATAAATCTTATTTACTAAATAAAAACCTACTAATACATAAATCAACTGTTTATAGTTACAAAACAATATGAGTTTTGAACATTAAGTATAAACAATGCATTGAAGGAACAAGAAATATAACCAACCAACCTGCCACAATGAAAAAAAATATTTGAAGACAAGCTTGAGAAAAAAATTTATTACTTTGAATGGCCAATCGGTACAGGAACTATATTATTAAGTATATTATTAAAAGACTTTTAATTGACTGATAATAATCATAATTCTTATAAAATAGTCTGGATAGTTGAATAATATTTAACTTCTTCATAATTTTGACCTTTGACATGGTTATTGTCTGTATTATTTACTCATGTATAAAGCAGAGCAAGAAAATCCAAAGACTTTTTCACGTAAATTTGTATATTTGATAAGTTAAACAAAAACAATATCCCTGATAGTTTGTCACAAAGAGGTTTTACTTAAGATATGTATTTAAATAAATTATGACTATGAATATAGAATAACTATACACTGTTGTTATAAATAAGAATTATCTTTACAAGGCTTAGAAACAGGTAGAATACAAGAATGATCAGAGAATTTCTATCCTATTTCGAGCCAAGTACAAATAAAATTTATGTTTTTAGACATAGTACGGTTGTTTTTTTCCATACTGCAACTATTAAACTGTTCTAACTGTAATATTTTGGGTAAAAATCAACAATTACTGATTTGAAGCAGATAACATAAAATTCCAGAAACATGAAATCTTTCAAAATGTAATTATTAAACTCTAGAGAAACACATTATCAATGTCAAAAACAAGTTTTTTATGGTCACAGACTATATAAAACCAAAGTTTAAAAGGTCAGTGCATTCTGAATGCACAAATAGCATATTTGCAGTATGAATATATATAATCTGATTTTATCATATTATTTCTAACAATGCCACTTTATATAATTAAAATTCCCATTAATCTTTAATTGCCTATGAACAGTATCACGTAACCTACCTACATAACGTCTACTTACTTATTACTCTCTACCCTATTTTTATATATGATAAATACATAAGGAATGTTGATTAAGGAGACATAGAAATACAAGTTACCCCTAACACAAAGGCGAAACTGGAATTATATTATACTACAAAAAGTATCACAATATGCTTAAGGTCCCAGATACCTTTGTGTCAAAGAACAAATAATAAACAGGAAATAAGCAATGTATATGAAATCTGTGCCTCATAAAATGTATCATAACAATCAAACAAAAAAACAATAACAACAAAATAAATAACATGGAATTCATAATCAGTAAAGAAGTCTTTGTTAAGATCTTATACCTTTTCTAAATAGTCCAAACACTGAAATCTTGAATTTATTTTCAAAAGATACCTGTACTCTCTTTATCTATCATAACATAACACAATGTTATCTTTGTAATAATTTTACAACATTGTCAATTTTGACAATAGTATCCCCCAAAAATCTATAGCAAACATTCATTAAATCACGTGAATATAAAGAATATTTTTTTAACCTTAGGGATATATTTATCATTCTTTAAAGTTGTTATACAGATTTGCACAAATTCGTTGACCAAGAGTATAGATGTATCCAAGGTATACAATGCTGTAATCTTAACAGAAGACTTCTCCATAAAACAACAAATAAATATAGTAATAATTTGTTCTTTGCAGCAACCTACCCATAATGCCAAGTAAAAAAGTATGTAAATGCCTGTCAAATGCTACATAATTTAAGGTCAAAGGTCAAGTATGAAAGTGAGTAGCTTTTTATATACAACAGATTAGCTGTACACATCAAGCATATATACTATACATATATATAATTTTCTATATACAATTCATTATCTACAAATATAAAATTAACATCAATCATTCAGTGAATAATATCTCCATTTTGAAATTGAAATAAATTTATACCTCTACATAAAATAACATCCAACCCCCTTTAAACACACTATTGCTAAGTATTCACAAAGTTATCATTTCCCAACATTTAAATGTTTTTTTTTTTAATTTTAGTATGATTTAATGGTAGTGGATATACTTTGTGGAGGAAACAGTAATGTCTGTAGATTCCTTTGAACCTTTCCATGTTTACCAATGGTTGAAACAGGCCTTTGATCCCAACCTTGTAGTGATGCTGTAAGTGAACAGTATGATATATATTGACTCACTATGGGGCTCAAGTAGGGTACCCCCCTTAGTTCACATCTAAAAATGTCTTAGTTCACCAGTTCACTTTAAAGCAAATTTAATTAAGCTTATGACCATTTTAAAGGACACAGGTTGCTTAAAATGAGAAGTACAGTTGCATGGTCGCCTGCCAAACCCCCCAAGGTCACAGGTAGGATTGGACCATGTTGAGGTCATCACAAACCACAACATCCCACTACAGAAGACTTGAGACAATTACAAGTTTTAATATCACATTCTATGGTAGATGCACCAAAAATGATTGAATTCTAAACTTATTTTCTAATGGTTTCTTCATTGCTAGGATGCTGTCTTACAGAAATAAGTATTTATAGTTAGCATTCATTGTACACAAAAACAGATGGATTATTTTCATCAACATAACTTTTTTTTACTTGCACCTATTTTACAGAAACTGATAAGTTCTTAATATTATGTCAAAATAGTAACTCAAGGATTTCCCATCCAAATCTTATTCAGAGTATAGATTCTTTGTAGTATAGACACTAGAACAAAAGGAATAATTATTTAAAATGTATAAATATTTGATTAATCCATAATACTGTGAATGGTGATGGATTTCGTCTACCTACAAAGCAACAGAAGTATGTCTTGAAATATAGCTTAACATTCGATCAAAAAACAATCTTAAAACATTCACAGCAAATGTCTAACCAAAACAAGATCTTTGCAATCTATTATATTGATATATTTGCCTTGATTGATAAATATCATTAGCTTTCCTAAAAATATCATTTCAATTTTACATTACTGCATGATCGCCTAGCATATCTGGATTTCCTTGATCATATCTATTCAATTTATTACAGGACCTATTGTGAGCTGGTAAAATGAAAATTCCAATGGTGGAACTCAGAAGGTATGAAGAGTTCAGCCCAAGCCATTATGATTTCAACGACTGCACAGTTAGAAAGAAAAAAAAAGAAAGATATGTGATGTTTGTCTCCAATTAAAGCATTAACATTTGTTAATCTTTATTAGTAATTGTACTTTTCATTTTTTATTTCACTTCTTACCATTAAAAAAAGAAAAAGTAAAAAATTAAGGAAATGTTTTTGAAGCTTCATCAATATGCCCTTCACAAGAAAACAATAGCTACATAATCATCTGAGATCATGAAAAAGTCACTTTGAAAACAACGTTAACAACAAAAAGTATAAAAAAAGCTATATCACAAAATGCATATCAAATACATCTATCCACCAAATGAGTTGTAATATTGCCGGTCTCCAACATCAACTCTATAAACCCATCACCTTAAAAATGCCTCTTTTTTTTCTTCAAAAATACTGTCTTACTGGTCAACCAAAAGATTTATACAAGAAAAAAAAAACCTCTACTTATAACATTTTGTGCAAAAATAAACTTAAAAGTCAGAACCTCAATAAATTATAAATACTACTTCAAGCTTCTAGAATCTAGGGATATTGCAGAAAAAAATATTCAAAAATAATTTAATTTGGGTGTATTTCAATGATTCAGTCAAAAATAGCCACCCATCAAAGACAGACTGGTAAGATTTACATAAGAAAGAATTGATATTAATTTATGGTTTTATCATAACTATTTTTTTATCAAATGAGTGCTTTTTGAGAGAAATTTATAGTATTTGGAAATATTTTATAGTTTAGCCTATATTACATATGAACCAATTGGAAAATTAAAAATAAATTTGTCCGAGCTTTAGAAAAAGTAAAAAACTAATTACTCTCATTTGATAATTCAACGACTAGCATTTCTTTATACCCTGCAAAAAATATTGCACCTAATAATAGATAAAATCACCAATATTCATAAATTTAACTTCATATTTCAATCAAATTTATCCTTTTTGACAATGACTCAATTTTTTCCCCCATCTAAAATACATTCTGATAGATTGAAGGAATATGACATGTATTTATAAACAATAGATTCAGCATTTCTTGTTGATATCTAGTAGGTCAATATTCAGCATAAATGAACACATAAATAAGAAATATTGCCCATATCGAATTTTATTTCTATTCCCAGTGGTGATATAACATGAGTTGAAGGAGAAATAAAAAAAAAATGTCTGACCCCAGCAAATAAGAGCTGAACGAAGCATTGTCAGATCCTTGTAAGCGAAGCGTGGACACAGGATCTGAACTGTAATCAGATTGATCATTAAATCAATGAATATTGGATTAACTTGGGATGAAAGATTATCTTATGCCATTACATGTTGTACTATTAGAATAAATCTGTCTACAAAACTAAGTTATACTACAAATAAAATAAAATGACCTCACTATGTACATAACTAGCAATAAACATTTGATAAGATTAACAAGTCACAGCCGATCTCTGATTATTTTATTGTGTATATTGAAATGAGCAAGAATACTTTTATATAGCACACACTCATCCTATAATTGATTATATTTCTCAAATTTCGGTCCATAGATGAAATGTTGTTTTCTATCACATTCTACATACCACACGAACAATCTATTTATATTTTTCATAATTAAATTTTAATAAAGTATAATTGATTATATAATATGTTCCTATAACTTGTATTGCACTAATGCAGGCCAATATATTGCACACTAATACTTTTAGAATCTGAAATTCTTCAATGTTTTTATGTCTTGAAAAATTTATTTGGGAGTGTTACATTAATTGAAATTCATTTGTAAAATTCCAATAGTAATATTTAACTTAGTATTTCTTGGTAATAATTATTCTTGCGTTTTTGTCTGATCAGCAAATTTCACATGAATAAATGCATGCAATAATTTCTGAACTGACAGTATTCTATTGGAACTAAAATTATAAGCAGCTGAGTATATAATGTTGGATTTGTTATATTGTGGAATCATTAACAGAAACTTAAGATCTTTTAGTATCTGAAGAACTGACCATAGAAATAATATTTTGTTGATTTGTAAAACCAAGAATCCTTAAAAGTAATATATTCTGTAAAGACATTATCAACAATCTTTAAATGGAAACAAGATGATTCTGTATTCGTCATCAAGTTTTACATTCTGTTATCGAATATTAATGATGACTTAAACTGTATTTCATGGAATTTAAAAGGCAAAATTTAACCTAAGAGAACCTACTCATTTATTTTTTAAATATTGGTATCGGAATACTTCAACTATTAGGAGTAGAATTAATTGTGTAAATTAACAGACTAGCGAGATAACTTAAAGAACAAATTAATGAAAACACAGTCAATAAAAAATTGCATTTTCCCAATAAAATAATGGATATATATTTCTTAATCATATATAGAAAAAAAACACTCTACACATACAAATCAGAATAATTCAATGAACAGAAAAAAAACTCTAGACCTTATAAATATCTTAAATTTATAATTATTGCACAAACTAGGTTCCATAACACCATTATTCTTTTCTAGTTGTCATGGCAACTAATATGACCACAGCAACTGTTGTCATGGGTGGAGCATTACAGTAACATATCTGTGTTAGGATTAAACACTGATCCTACAGTTTTGCTACTTCTGCAAACACTGATGATCTTTTGCCATGCCAGAATCAAAACATGCCATTGTATGCTATGAATCTAATCATGATGACGTGGCTGTCAACGATTGGTGTGCTGAGAATTAAAACTGATACCACTTTTTGTCTTTGTATTTTAACATTATTGCATGTGAAGCACTTGAAAAGCTTTCTGCATTTTGTAACATTTGTTCTGTCCGTTCTCCAAGTTCTCCCAGTTTCTCTCCCCTCTCCAAGAATAACTGTAAAATATCAAAGTAACAAAAGTTATGAAGACATCATTATCTACATTAGTGTAATGCATTTCAACATAACAGGAATATGTTTCCATAGGATACCATGCCTGCCTGTACTTTCACATTTCCATGTTCAGCGATCTGCAAAATCTGGTTTAAAACTTTAAAATTTGGCATTTATTTTCATAATTTCAGATCATAATGAACATGTGTACTAATTTTCAAGTTGATATGACTACAATATCATGGTAAACAACCTCGAACCAAAACTTGAACGTGATACGGTATATATAGACGGACGTAGAGACTGGAAAACATAATGCCTCCCCACTATATTGTTGACAGGCATAAGTTTGTTAGTGTGGTTCATAGGTGTTTCTCGTTTTTTATATAGATTAAACCGTTGGTTTTCCTGTTTGAATAGTTTTACACTAGTCATTTTGGGGCCCTTTATAGCTTGCTATTCGGGGTGAGCCAAGGCTCCGTGTTGAAGGCCGTACTTTGACCTATAATTGTTAACTTTTTATACATTGTGACTTGGATGGAGAGTTGTCCCATTTGCACTCATACCACATCTTCTTTTTTATACATAATTACTGATCCCGGAATGATACTGGGAATTTTTTTTTTAATGCCTTGAAAAGATACCTAATTTTATATAACGTCATCAAACCAAATAAGATATTTATAATGACATTCCTTAGCACATCATTCACAAATAAACTGATGTATGGTTACATAGTTAACTATTATTATTGATAAAACATTCAGTTGCAAAGTTTGTATCCTTTGATTTCCATGGTGAAACATAAGACATCTGTACACTTTTAGAGTTGAAAGTTTGGATCAATTGAGGAACCTGGCTTACTTCTTTTGAAAGACTTATCTCTGGCAAATTGTAATTTGTTAAGGGAAAACAGTGTGCCTTTTTTAAACTTCATTTTTCTGCACGACTTGAAAATCTATTATGCTAAATTTGGAGGCAAGTTGTTGAAAAGACAAACTTTGATCATTTAAAGAAACCAGCCAGCCCAGTAGGCAAACAAAAATGTGTCCATAGTACACGGATACCCCACTCGCACTATCATTTTCTATGTTCATTGGACCGTGAAATTGGGGTCAAAACTCTAATTTGGCATTAAAATTAGAAAGATCATATCATAGGGAACATGTGTACTAAGTTTCAAGTTGATTGGACTTCAACTTCATCAAAAACTACCTTGACCCAAAACTTTAACCTGAAGCGAGACAGACGGACTGACAGACAACAGACGAACGGACGCACAGACCAGTACTATTGTAGGTTGGGCATAAAAATGCAATCATAATCAGAAACCTCATTAAATATATTGATTCATTGTTGGTTGCTTAACATCCAGTGGCAAATATTTCATGCATGTTCAGAATGATTGATAAATATAAACCAGACATCAGGTCTGAAAATATTTTTTAGAAATTAAGGGAGTAACCTATAGCGTTTCGGGTATCACAAGAAATAAAAGACGGGACTGTATACCTGTCTTGTCTTAGCCACCTCTCCAGTGACTCCAACAGTTCCAGCCTGTAGATACTGCATGTTAGTTCGTCCTGGTATCTTTGTAGCCAATCCTCTTGACCCTTTACCACTGGATTCACCAACTAAAATATTGAAACATATGTTGTTATGCATACCCTTTTCAAGTTGATTTTCTACTGACTTTTTTTTTAATTCGACCAAATTGGGTTTTTTTGGAAGCCATTTTAATTGGGTGTTTAGATCAGAAATTTTAATAATCCAAATTTAAAATTTAATATTTGGAATGCATCCAATCAAAACAAACATTGCAAATGAAAGTTTTTTCAAATACATAAAATATTGTACATATTACAGAATATAGTTGTAAATGCATGCTAAAGCATGGAAACTTGCTTAAGTAGAGTATTTGTCTTATAAAACAACTATTAATGAAATTTAAATACAACTTGACACAATTGATTACTGTAAATTCAGAAATTATTGCGAGGTTTTAATTAATGCGCATAATGCGACTGGATGAGTATCGCAATAATAAGAACTCGCATTTTGATATCTGATACACATATCTGTATGCAGATTTTCCTGAAATCGCAATAAATAAACTCGGATTTTTGTCCATTCTCCAACAATCGCTATAATAAATGCATGCAATAATTTCTGAATATACAGTACTATGTATGATTTCATTTATGGTAAATATAAGACTAAAGGAGATTCATTATTATTCTAGGATACCAATTTTTGTGGATTTTGTGGCTAAAGAAGGTAAACCACAAATTGAAACATTCAATGAAATACATATTTTCTATAGGCTAGTATACAGTCTTTTGTTAAACCACAAAATCAATTATCTACCAAAATACAATTTTTTTCTCAATCCACGAAAATTGATACCCACGAAAATAAACGAATCCACAGTAAACATTGTCGAATATTTTTCATTAATACTTATGACTAGAATTTCCTTCATAATTTTTTTTCATTCTGTTCAACAATGAGATTAAAAAGCCAGAAAGGAAGCCTTGTCAATTACATCATCATTTTCAGCTATAATTAAGTTTGAAGAAATTCCACAAAACTTCATATCTTTTTCTCTATATGCTTGTGTTTACTACAGAGCAATACATTGCTGTACTTATAAGAGGAACGAAACTTTTCATGAAACTTTTTTATTACTACAAGTATCCCATATGTTAAAATGTAAGGTGTATAAATGTTTGTCTAGCTGCTAGAAAGTGTGTGATTGTAACAAAAAAGAAAAGTACAAAAACAACAATCTGAATTTGGAGTCTTTAAATATTATACAGTATTTCATGGCTATGCTTTCTTGTATGCATTCTGACCATGTGTTTCCCTCTAGTTTTCTCACTTAAAAACAAAAATGGCATAGCAAACATACATAAGTCCTCTCTGTCTAAAATTGAGTTTCCACCACCAAATAAGTTCTTGAAGAAGCCTTGTTTAGGAGCTTCTGGAGTTTCACAAGTTGCTACAAACAGATCTCCCAACATTTCATTTAAATTATCACTGAAAGAAAAATTTACATTTTACTAAAAATAAATTACATGTTCAAAGATAAAAAAATAAAATGCAGTGCTGAGATATATCAGTACATGGTTTAAGAATACAATCTTTCATGCATCATTAAGATGATATTGACTTTAATTTTCCCTTGTCCATCATTAATATGTTACATTTTATTAATAACTTCTTCATTTTTCTTTTCTGTTTATACAAGTAAGGTTATGGAAAGAAACTTACTAAGGTTATGCATAGAGAAATAATTTTTTTGAAACTGAAAATCTTCAGGCAAGCTTTTTTTAATGTATTACTGGAACTTGGTCTGGCAGTACAACCATGCAGATGTGAAATCCATTTTGTTGTGACAAATATATAATATAACAAAATAAAATGCTCCGCAGGGCGCAGCTTGATACGACCGGCTTCAGACCCTGAACAGTTGGGGCAAGTATGGACACAACATTCAAGCTTGATACAGCTTTGCATTTGGATTGTGATTAAATATTTGACACAGCATAGGTTTCTGACACAGAATGAATGTGGTCTAAGAACTTAAAAATTTTAAATTGGACATTCACCTATTATGGTCTAATATCCAAAATCTAAATACATGGTTAGATTCAGCATATCAAAGAACCCCAAGAATTCAATTTTTGATGAAATCAAACAAAGTTTAATTTTGGACCCTTTTGACCTCAATGTGGACAAAATTGATAACGGGGCCCAAAAATCAAAAATTTAAATACATGGTTAGATTCAGCATATCAAAGAACCCCATATATTCAATTTTTGTTGAAATCAAACAAAGTTAAATTTTAGACCCCGATTTGGACCAACTTGAAAACTGGGCCCATAATCAAAAATCTAAATACATGTTTAGATTCAGCATATCAAAGAACCCTAAGAATTCAATTTTTGTTAAAATCAAACTAAGTTTAATTTTGGACCCTTTGGACCTTAATGTAGACCAATTTGAAAACGGAACAAAAAATTAAGAATCTAAATACACGGTTAGATTTGGCATATCAAAGAACCCCAATAATTCAATTTTTGATGAAATCAAACAAAGTTTAATTTTGGACCCTTTTGACCTCAATGTGGATCAATTTAAAAACGGGGCCCAAAATCCAAAAACTAAATACACGGTTAGATTCAGCATATTAAAGAACCCCAAGAATTCAAGAATAAAACCCCATTGAAATTGGTCAAGAAATAAGCAATTTATACGAAGTATCTTCTTTTGCACAATACTGTGCAATTAAATATTTCTTGCTATTGCGCAATACTGTACAATTGACAATTTCTTGCTATTGCGCAATATTGTGCTATTGGATATTTCTTGCTATTGCGCAATACTGTGCAATTGAAGATTTCTTGCTATTGCGCAATACTGTGCAATTGAAGATTTCTTGCTATTGTGCAATACTGTGCAATTGAAAATTTCTTGCTATTGCACAATACTTGTTATATAATAATTTACACATCCTATTTGGTGTGTATCTCCTACCATATCATTATTATTTGCTTTTAAATATAATTCAGAAATAACAAACTTAAAATGGAAAATTTTAAAAGAAAAAAAAAAGGAAAAAAAGAAAAAAAATCACCCCCCCCCCCCCCCCCCCCAAATTTTTTGAACTCCCTTATGATTCATCACTCGCAAACTCAATCCCAGCCTTCCCTTTGTGGTATGGTACCTTGCAGTACAATTTCAGAGAGATCCATACACTTGAACACAAGTTATTGTCTGAAAACTAGAAAAATGCTTATTTTTGGCCCCTTTTTGGCCCCCAATTCCTAAACGTTTCGGCAATTACCCCCAAACTCAATTCCAGCTTTCCCTTTGTGATATGGAACCTTGTAGTACAATTTCAGAAAGATCCATACACTTAAACACAAGTTATTGTCATGAAACTAGAAAAATGTTTGTTTTTTGCCCCTTTTTTGGCCCCTAATTCCTAAAATTTTAAGGCAATTACCCCCAAAATCAATCCCAGCATTCCTTTTGTGATATGGAACCTTGTGGTACAATGTCAGAGAGATCCATACACTAACACACAAGTTATGTCTGGAAGTTACAAAAATGCTTATTTTTGGCCCCTTTTTGGCCCCTAATTCCTTTACTGTTGGTACCATAACCCCTAAAATCAATCCCAACCTTCCTTTTGTGGTACTGAACCTTGTGGTAAAATTTCATAGAGATCCATTCACTAAAACTAAAGTTAGAGTGCGAAAACCAATGTGTCTTCGGACGACGCCAACGTCATACCAATATACGACCACAAAAAATTTTTTGCGGTCGTATAAAAACAAGACACATATTATTGGAATTCCAAGATCTCTATGGATTTTTACCGAACCCTTTTTTCTGAATCTATTCACTATTTGTTGGTCCTTCTATGTCGGCACTTTTAAACCTGACATTTAATGATTCTCTAAAAAGGCATTTGTTACAAATTTAAAGGTATCAGCATGACCACAAAATAATGAAAACCAAACTTTTCAAGTCGAAGACCCATGCAACAAATCTTTGATGTATCTTGTAAATGGTCAGTTGACAAGACAAAATTATTCTAAACTTAGTATATCCAATAAGCCCCTTTTCTCAGTGGTAGTCACAGTTGTCCAGTCCATCTAACTACCAACATAACCAATCAATCTGAATTAAATTACCCATGTTTCACTGTCTTGCAGCTGAATTCTGCCTGACCACACTTTACATTGATCAGTTTATGTGATATTTTTGGTATCGTTACTTATATAATCAGTATAATCAGGTCAGCAAAAAATGAAACTTTTTTGTATAGTTACTTATTCAACAAGTAGAATCTGTACTTTACCTTAGGTCAGCAGAAAATGATATTTTTTGTATCTCTGTAGGTGAACATAAATAACTGGCATGTCCATTACTACTGAAACTAAATGTTCTTGCTATTCGCAGGTCTGTTAATGCTAGAAAATCTATGTCTAGAAGAGGCTTAAGGCTGGGCAAACTAAATGTCATAATCCGACCATTGGCAATATAACAAGCTAAACATACACTATCTGAAATAGAAAATGGCATTATTTAAAAACTAATTTAATGAATAAATGTTTCTTGTTGCTGACAGTAATGTTACTAATCTATGGAAGCACTTTAATGTCAGTTTGTAAGGTTTATGGAGAAATCGTTCGTATTTGATTTTGCAGACAATATATATAAAATGAGCATCAAACAAGGGAACAGTCTTTTGCAGTTTGAATCAGATGACAAAAAAAAAAAAATCATGTAAATTAATTTCCTTTCTGCATAATGGAATAAATATAAACATTGTAATAGCGTTTACATTACATGATAGACATATAAAATATTTTAGGTACAAATGGAGACGAGAGAATAAACACTCTAAACAAAACTTTTGTATATATGCATGTGAACCAAGTTGATATGAACCTTATACTTTGTATGCTTTCTTAGCTTTTTACTGTTTTTCCTTTGATTATTAGAGACTTTTTTTTTACTCTTGTGACCTGTGTTTTAGTGTATAACAAATATGTTTTTTTCTCTCAGGAAGCCGTTCTATTAATATTGAACTTGTACCCTAAAATTTCTCATTATCTATTCAATAGCAATTTATGACTTTTCCAAGAGAGGGTGTCTTTATTTTGGAGACTTCTGATCAGTAAAAACAATTTTTTCCTATTCTTTACGTTCCCAAGATTGGTTGAATACAAAACAAAAACTCCAGTTGAAAGAACCTGAGTAATCTCACATAACACATGCTCCCCCATATAAATGGTTAAAGCTTAATGTGACCCAATGGCATAGTTCTTTCTCTCTGCTATTTCTGTTATGATTTAAGACAGTAATCTCATCTCACACAATATTTTTTTAGTATGACCATGACCCTAGACCAAGTGACATTAAAATCAATAGCGGTCTTCCTTTCATTATATATATGTGACCATACATTCAAGTAAAGTATCTGAGTTAGCACCTGGAAATGAAAATGACTGACGTACAGGTTAAAAATTATATTAAAGTCTTTCTATGACAAATACCTCTCATTGAAACAATATCAGCTCTAACAACAAACGATGAATCAGTGATCCTTGTTTTATATGGACATGACTGAGATGGCAAGGACACAACCTGGAAAAATAAAATACACATTATACATTAAAAGATTTTTTATCATACAACAATGAAAACCATCTGCAAAAATATAAAGATATTGTTTGATTGAAATAAGGATCAGTTGAAATTTTGAATAATAAGCACCAATATATTAGCAAAAGTACAATCATAGCTAAACATATTTTGTACTATTTATCATTTTTTGCACAGATTTCAGTAAACTGATTATGTAATTAAATGAATTCAAAACAAAATCTATATAATTCTTTGCTAGACAATCCCATATATGTTCATCTGGTCAGACATACCGTGAAAGCACATGTCTATGAATTCTAGTTTTTGGAAGTACACAAAGTTCCTCTGGTTAGAGATTTGATGAAAGCACATGTCTTAAAAATTTAAAGTACACCAAAAATCTTTGGCCACAGATTTTCGATTCCAAATTTCTGACATTTGAGAAGCTAATGGAAAATATTCATTTTGTTTGGCATTAAGTTTCATGGCATAACAAATTTTCAAGAAATAGCTAATTATCAATGAATAGATAAATGGAGAATGTGTTCATGGGACACAGATGATGCCCTGCTTGCATATAACGTTATAAAGGGACCTAACATTAAAAGTGACGCCACTCAAATTTGAACTTGATCTGAGTTTTGTTTTAATATGCACTGTGTATAAATTTCATAACATTTGGTTGAGGCAAACTTGTTAGAGAATGGAAACCAATTTTGGGACGTATCTACGCACAGAAGGACAAAGGTAACACTTAATGGCCCCTTTGCTGGAGCAGGGGCATAAAAACCTATCATGTATATTAGTTAACCATTATTACATACTCTTGCTTGTTTTTCTGAGCATAAAACAGCATATTGTTTATCTGAGACTTCCGTTGAAGAAGTAGGTGAGATCCTTGGTTTCTGAGCCATAGACAATTGTCCTGAAAAAAAAGATATCACAAATTACATTTGACAACTGTTTCACATTTGGTATCTTCCCTGCTTCCAATCAAAGATTATGTATTTTTAAAATAATTTTTACCTACTGAAGGTCACTTTTTTCATCCTGTAAAAAGCATCACTGTGAAGGACATCATATTTTAACATTTATTCAAAGTCACATTATACCTAACATCAAAATATCTGCATATTAAACTTTGTTATTAAAGTATGTGTCTACTTTTCACAAAATCCAATATACATTATAATGCAGTGATGCCATGATGTACTACATATGCTTGCATTGCACGATACGTAAAAGTGTCATTTGGAGTAAGGTTTAGGCATACTTTCACCAGACTTGGCATTCATTGGCTGAAAAGGATTAATTTCACTTAAACATATCAGTTTCAGTACTATCAGATTTAAATAACATAATATGATTGAATTCTATAATATCGTCTATGCTGATTTAAAATTCACTTTCTTAGTGAATATGAATATATTTTTCATTGTATGTTTATTAACCAATAGTCACCCAAGCACAAATACAACTTACACAATCTTTAGTGGCACTAGAGTTCAAAGATGTAATACTTAATTTAAAATTTTGCCATTGTTTTCTTCAACTTACAGAAAAAATTTGGATATTACATACGTTCAGGTACATTAACAGATATTTTTTTTGGTCCTACAAGTCTTATTCTGTACACTAAAGACAATAGCAAAGTTAACGAAACAAACAGGTTTTACATACTTGGTGTTTTCGGTTCTTTTGTTGGTGTCTCCTTTTGTTCTGTTTCCCTCCATGCCTTATGTATGGAAGGAATTAGCACCCCATTACAATCTAAGAAAGACATGGTTAATATTGCTCCTTTCAACCTAAATATTGTTCCTAAAATATATACAAAATCAATTACTTTGGATAATCAGTCTCAATATGCAGATTCATTTTATATAATATTGCCACTGTTTACCTGAAATGTATGCTTTGTTTCAATAATGTGAAAAAAGCAACAAGATGGCAAAAAATTAAAGTAACCCTTTTATTCTTCTAAGCTATTAAATATTCTGCTTCAGTGTGTACAAAAACAAGACTAATCAATATTACATTCATTGTCCACTGTGGAAAGATTTGCGAAAATAAATGAAATTTTTTATTTGACTTTATAGTTTTTCAGAACAGAGCACATATTAGAAACATGGCTTCGCAAGATCATTTTTACTTTTGATGTTTTTTAATAATGTTACCTACCACTGGGTGAGACTATCACAGGTTGACTAAGTCGCTGGTCTCCCGGGGGAGGTAGATTTAGCACAATAACCAGCACTGAACCCAGGCTGGTACCTACCCACAGACATGGACAGGTAAAATTATCTGTAATGATATGAATAAATTATGCATCAATTACTAGTTTTATCTTCTGAATTAAAATGTTCAACTAAGTATCAATTTTATATAGGCATGTCCTCAAACCTTGGCAAATCCACAAAATCATATATTCGCTAATATACAACTTTTCCTCAATCCATAAAAATTGGTACCCACGAAAAATAAATGAATCCAGAGTATTTCATGACAACCTCACCACATTATGTGCAAGTAACAAGTCAGATTATATAGACCAATGTTTTCGTTATTGAATGTCTTTGCATGTAAATTTTCTTCTTTTGAGTCCATGATTGATGTTGTCTGTAGGACTGTGAAGTATTTATGGCAACTCCTGTTATTCCTTTTTATGTATTATCAAAATTCATGATATTGATACAAAACACAACATTAAATCCAAAAATTCTCATGAGAATAAATAAGATCTTAATCTAAGCATTCAATTGGTTGTTGGTTGCTTAATGTCCAGTGGCAAATATTTCATGCATGTTCAGGAGGAATCTAAGCATTTGAAGTTATCTACCTGAAACTGATCACTTCCTTTTTTAAATGCTGTAATATCAAAAGATAATTTGCATTTCATTTGTAATATTCCAAATACATTATACCATTACTATTAATATAAAAGAACAGTGTTCCAATGTTCTTCACCAATACACATCATTTATCTGTCAAAGGGAAATAACTCTATTTTTTTTTTAATTTCAAACTCTTCATAAATATCCTACAAGAAATGTAGGTACGAGATTAAAAATGTTATTCTCAATAAAATTTCTACTTCCAAGGGGCATAACTCCTGAACAAATCATTGATCTGCTCTGATTATCGAAATTCTTCCAAGACATTACTGATGTAAACCTTTGATATAAATTAGAATTAAAATCTGACAAAAAAATGTAAGCTTGAGAGTATTTACAAGCCAATTATATATAGAATTTACATTTTCAAGGGACATCACTACTGTAAAAATACCTGGATTTCAAATTACTTTATTAACTTTGCTTTTCCAATGTTCATTCTACATTTTCTATTGTTCTCACCTGTTTTTCTGGTATATGAGTCAGCAAAGATGAGAGACTGAATTGCTTCTTTTGAGACATTCTCTAAACTTGACATACTAGAACTACGGGACCGAGAAAAAGATGCACCATCATTTTTATCTGAAATTCAAAAAACATAAATAATTACTTTTTTATCCTGAAACTTTTAATAATATTTTCACAATGTAATTTCTATAAGTCAACATTTTGAAGAAAAAAAAACAGCACCTTAAAATAACTTTCAATTTTGATAAAAACAACACTTTTAAATATATCAATACATCTTCATTATTTTGATAACAACAATCTAATATTAATTTATTCCTTGGATTAACATACTGACCATTTGAGTATCATTCACCAACATTTTTACAAACTTGCCCCCTCACTTCAAGCTATATCATAACCTTTTAAACTTGAACAATCTTTCCTTCCAAACAAACATAATATTTTCTAGATAAATGGCAGACTGCCTTCTTGTTTGCTAGTCTGTACAAATTCAAGCTCACTGAAAACCAAGAACCTATAATCCATCTTCAATCTATCTAGATCTTATAACAAATATCTGTGAAGCAGGAAATAGCTGAAGACATGTTCACCAGTTATACAGAACAAGGTCCTAGATGAATTATAATTTTGACAAATCTGTTCCCATAGGAGTCTCTATCACTGACTGGGCACCAGTGTCTCACATTGCTTTTTCATCTACCCCTATAACTATTTTCGAAAGAGAAAAAAGTGTTGGGACAGATTATTCTGATTTTTTTTAATTTGAATTACTACACTAAAAATGTCCCTACCAAATCTCTTATATGTTGGTATAATTAATTGTGTACCCATAATGAGAATTTTTTTAAATGAACAGAACTATCAATAAAGAGCTGCACCATGAGAGCATGATATGCCCGTTGCTTTTTCAACGAATAAAGTTCCATAACTCCTCAAAGTAAATTAGAAATTTATAAAAAAACAAGCTAAAGGGAGCTTATTTTAATAGATATAAAGCAGTCACCAAAGTTTGATGAAAACTGCTCAAAGCATTTTTTGAGTTATTGTCAGACATGTTGATGACGGATGGACAGACAGAATGACGGAGGTACAACATTATACCATAATACATCTCGTAAACAGGCATATAAAAAGATATTATTTATGGCTGGTTCCCATGGGCTTGACACTTGCATTATTCTTTTCCAAAATTCTATTGTAAATCATAATGGTCGTGCAAGGAGGATCAGTATATATACTTTTGAAAGGAAACACCCCATACTCCTTCAAGGATAGTCAAGATCAACTATTTTCCAAATACAATACATTCTCCAGATTTTAAAAGAAATGATTAAAAGGTTTGATCATGAATGATAAGAGATGCCAAGCAATGAGTATTGATACACTTAACTCTGAGAACCTCTGGTATTCTGATCAATGCATTCCTATTTATATTTTGATACATATTTTCTTTCAACAAAAGCAAATAATTTTAATTAAAATCAGCTTACAAGCATAAGTAATAATGTAATATAAAGATGGTGTGTGTCAGACAATAATAAAATTGTTAAACTGTGCTTAAAATGAGCATTTGCCTGCAAAAATAACACATGCAGTGATGATGCTAGAATGTACTATAAAATAAAACATCTGGGACTTAACTGATTTCATAAAATCTTTCCACTTTCAGTTAGGCCTTTCATTTTTTTTTCTTTCTATTTTTTCATTTCTCAAAACCATATCGAAATTTTTTTTTTAACAATTTTGCCCTTTTATTCTCCATGTTTTGCTCATTATTCTCTTTTCTGTAAACCCCATCCAGACCCTCAGCTAAGACCCTGTTTGAATAATGTTAAACTGTAGGCCATGCCATAAAAAAGTCAGACACACACTACTGATTGTGTTATTCGTATAACCCCTCTTCATCATTGCTTAAGTATCTTAAATGCATCACATAAACTGCTAACACAAGATCGGTCTCCCATGTGTAACTTAATCACAAACTTTAACATGTGTTCATGCTGCTATGCCAGGAACAGCATACATAAGTCTCATTTTCCCATGCAAGACAAATATGTTTTGGAGTGTTAAAAATTTTAAAGAAAATTATCGTCTCTTGAATGGCCTATTTCTATATTAGCTTCCAATGCAGCATGATTGATGAATATAGTGAATTTAATTAATACAAAATATTTTCTTTGATTTGTCTGGCCTCAGTATTTTTCATTCTGGTGTACACATCTCCATTGGCTAACAAATTAAATTATCAAGAAAATATTAGTGACAGCTTTCCTGGAAGTAAAATAACATTAGTACTAAATCAATTTTACTGCGGACGAAAAAATCTGTATGGGTGAAACTTTTTTTTCTAAAATGTGACAACAACAATAACTTTATATGTGCTGAAAGGGTTAGAAGAAATGTGCTTCAGACTCACCACAATCAGGTTTGAGGTATACAATGGCTATCAAAACAATAATTATAATAGAGTCAGTACTTTCAACTATAAAGCTGCTGATTTTAACATGTAAAAACACAATATTAGCTAAGATAAATCAAATTAACCTGAACAACTTGATAAAAATGATGTTTTTTTTCAGTTAATTAAGATCTAATGTCTGAGAGTCAAAAAGATAAAAACAAATTTAGTTGTCAAAATCTCAATTAAACTATCTTCATACCTTTAATAATAAATTAATTAATATAAGAAAAAACACTATAAAGTTAATACCCGGTAATTAAAATCTGTGAACCATAAACATTTTCTGATTTCAAAATTTACAAAAAAAAGTTTTTATGACCCTAAGATACAGAATTTTCATTATCCAGCCACTTAAACATAAATAAATAAAATTAATAAACATATACATGTATCTTGACAAACATGAATAATTGTTTAACTGCATTTTCATTCATTATTTCAGATCAATAAAGTTCAGCTGTTTCATAGCAAAGGATAGGAGGTTCAAAGAACAGCAAATCAAAATTATGAACAGCTGGATATTTTATTTGGGGGCTTCTATTGTTTTCATGAAATAAAAAAAAGTGAGATGATTTTTTCCAAGTGATAATTATAAGAGAGCAATTATGACCATAGATGACAATAGCCAACTCAACCTTTTGGGTATGGTCAGTTTTTAATATCAGTTTGGGAAACTGTCCTCCATTATAAATACATCTTCATCTTATATTACTGCCTACAACTCCATTAAATGATAGAATAACATATTCTAAAAGGAAAACATCCTTAAGTACAAAACATTCTACCATTGGCTTATTACAACATATTTATGGTCACCAATTTAAATTAAAACAAAATAATAATTGTTTTTTGCCACAACTTTGTGCATTTCACACATTAGTGTTTAGTTTGTATTAATGTATTTTGTTATCTATTAAACCATTTTTAGAGTTTACTTTTCTCGTATTATTTTTTATTTTAAAATGTACTTAAACATGTACCTACTTTTTGTTAGTACATTGAAAAATGTTAAAAGGGGAGAGTTGATATCTCTTAAAACTAGTTTAAACCAATCGTATGTTCCTATATGTGTTCTAAGTAAGGAATCTGGTAAGTGATTATCCGTCAAATCAGTGGGGTGCTACTTTTATTTGTTTTTTCATTTTTCAATGGTAAATGGCCATCTGTTTTCCTATACTGAGACCCTTACTTCTATATTAGCGTATCTCTTTTGATCTTTTGTTATTTATGGAGTTTGATGTTGATGTGAGATCTTTGTTAATTATTGTTAAATCAAATCATTTAAAGGTTGACATATTGTATAGACACCTGCATATTGCTGAAGACTGTATGTTGATTTCTAGATGTCTTTTTGATTTTTGTTGTTGGGTTGCTGTATCATTGATGTAAACTCAGCATTTCCTTTCATCATATGAAATGGTCACGGTTATTTTTTAAACAGAGTAAGAAACAGATAATAAGTAATAAAATGAAGATTCATATTTATCCAATTACATATCTAGATATATTTTGTCAATTTACTATTACAGAAATAATAGGTCCCACAACACTAAGTGAAAAGTGACCTCCTTATCTTGTGTTCATCTACTATATAAAGAGTAACCTAGTTTAAACTTTACAACAATAGATACTATATTGAAATCACTGAGAAAAAATATTCTTATCTGAAAACATTTTCTTCACACTTGAGAAATATGATTCAATGTTAGGTTAAGAATAAAGAGCATATTCAAATTTTAATATTGAAAGCAATTAATGTCTGTGTATGAAAAACTGAAAGACATATCCACCAGTTAATGGGGAAATAATAAATACATTTGTTAGAGCTTCATCATGTTCATTATCCAGAACAAGCACTTTTCAAATTAAAAGTGTTACCATGAAGAAACTTAAATTAAAGTGTTACCATGAAGAAACAACTATTTCTCTTGGAAATGTCAGATACTAAACTGTACAGAGTACAGATGTCAATACAGGTTATTGAAATATATGCATATACATAAATAATATATACATATCAATAACCTGTGACGCAAATACACTTTAATTTCACTGGTGTTAAATCAACATACTGCTTTTACTCAATGTGACCTTAAAACTTCTATATCATTATTACAGTGATTGACATTAATTTCCTACAGCAAATATATTTTTCTATTTAAAATTTATTTTTGTATTTTCAAATTCATTCCAGTGATATAATAATTGATTTTTGGCTAACTTTTGCAATTTCATATACCGGTAAAAATAATTGATAATGTAAATTTTGTTAATAATTACTCAAAATCTTCCATTTCTTCATGTCAATTATTATGAAAACAATAAATGTAAAAAATCTGAATGCTAATTATTATGATAATTCGTAATGTCAATTATCATGCAAAAAGTAGCATGTGACCTTCAAACTTTTTCAGTTTTATTGGTGATAACATATATAATAAAGAAATATCTATATTCAATTAAAAAAAAACAGTGGATATGCCTCTCAAAAATAGTTTTTGTAGACAATTTGCAAAAATGATGGTAAATTTCAATTTCATTTTCAACAGAAAACTGTATATTTACAAATTAAAGATTAAATAAAAAAGACTACAAACACAAATATCCCACATCAAACCAAATAAAAAATTAATTGAAACATACACATATATATATACACATGTATATAAATCTGATTGTAATAAAAACACCACAATAGCAAGCGAGGAGGGGAAATACACAACATAAGTACCAGTAGGCAATGACATGACTCTTATTCTTACTATTACTTTTAGTACATTTTGCCATAAAAATACCTTATTAAAACCAAAAAAATACCACACCTCCAAAAAGTTGTCACAGACATACCTGTACCATTATACCCCTACAACCTCAATAAGTTACAGCCTTATAAAACTTAAGGCTGGAAAGTAATTGGTCTTGGTTAGTCAAGTAGTGGAAAATAAACCTTTTGATCCTAGGTCTAGTACTGGCAAAATTTCACAACTTTCAAGTTATAGGATATTTCTAAAAATATTGTTAAATTTGAACAGATATATATACAAGAGTACACTTCCAGAAATGTCTCGCCTGCTTTACTATTAATGATTTATTTTTTCACGATAGTCCTAAATATAAAGTTTTACTATAAGTATCACAAAAACTAAACATTATTAATGATCCATGACAATGAGGTCAAGGTCATATAAACTAAGCCAGACAGACATGTACACCTTACAATCATTACATACACCAAATATAGTTGACATTTTGCTTAAATTATACAAGTAACAATCAAAAACATGAAATCTTAATATTGACCAATGAATCATGAAAATGAGGTCAAGGTCAGATGAAACCTGCCAGACAGACATGTACCCCTTACAATCAATTGATACATCAAATATAGTTGACCTTATTGCTTATAGTATCTGAGAAACAGACTTAATCAGGAAAATTTAACATGGACCAATGAACCATAAAAATGAGGTCAAGGTCAAATAACTTGCCAGACAGACATGAACACCTTACAATCATTTCATACATCAAATATAGTTGACCTACTGATTATACATGTAGTATCTTGCAAAAGGACCCTACTACTGAAACTTAACATTGACCAATGAACCATGAAAATGAAGTCAAGGACATATGATACCTGCCAGACAGAAAAGTGACATGTACAACTTACAATCATTCGATACATCAAATATAGTTGACCTTATTGCTTCTAGTATCTGAGAAACAGACTTAACCAGGAAAACTTAACATGGACCGATGAACCATGAAAATGAGGTCAAGGTCAGATGAACCCTACCAGACAGACAAGTACACCTTACAATCATTCCATACACCAAATGTAGTTGACCTACTGCTTACAGTGTCTGAGAAACTAGTTATGTAAATTTAACTTGATCACTGATCCATGAAATAAGGTTGAGGTCAAGTGAGCCCTGTCTGATGGATATGTTGACATTGCAAGGAACCAATATACCAAATATAGTTATCATATTACTCATAATAAGTGAGAAATTCACATATCACTGAACCATGAAAATGAGGTAAAGGAAAACAGACATATGACAAACGGAAACTTCATAACATAAGGCATCTATATACAAAGTATAAAGCATCCAGGACTTCTACCCTCTGAAATATATAAAATTAATACAAATAGTTCACGCTGCCATCAGATTGTAATCCTGATATCTCGCATTCTGCAACAAAATTCTGCCTCTTTCATGGCATGAGAGACCAAAAAAGAACAACTTCTTATATAGACCATGTTCGTCTTCACGATGAACTTTAAAATCTACAGGCCCTGATCTCAATTTTTGGAATTTTTTTGTTAAGATTCTGTTGGCCTGCAGAGATGATTTTTACAGGCCCGAGAGCAATTTTACAAGCCTGGGCTGCTGGGCCTGTGGCTTAGTGAGAAGACTGCCGGCGGCGGGCGGGCATGTACAAACCCTTAATAGAGACTATTACAAAATTTTAGAAGGTAAAATTATTTTGCACTGAAAGAGATACCTTTTTGTCATATCATGTTTTACATGCCATTACACTACTGTACCAGTTTGATCAACTTGTCATTGTACAAATATGTGAACATCTTATCCAATAATATCAGATTAAGAAAATAGGAGTGATGTGTGCCAAACTGATATTCAAAACCCTTGATGAAAGGAAAATATGACTACTATGTTAAATGAAATTTTTAAGAAATGAATAATGTTACAAAGAAGACAAATTTGAGAAAAGAACATTTCGACCACCCCTCCCCCTTCCCCCAACAAAAAAATGAAAGAAAAAGAAAAGTAAATGTGTATAAGGTTTCTTGTAAATGAAATATTAGGTCAGCAGTTGGGAATTTAATAAAAGTTCTCTTGTTGTTCTTCACAACACAGTATCAGATTCCTGTATTGTATGTATCTTTGTATTGGAAATACTTATAATCCTTTCATTATTAAACCAACTGACAACCATCAGGATGATTAACATTGTTTGGATACATATTGTTTATAGTAGAATCCCAATTAATAGTTATAACAACAGATATATGTCGGAGAATAGATCTTCCAAAAATAAAAGAAGAATGTGTCTGAGGACACGAATCCCCCCGCTCAAGCTTTGCAACAAAAATGGGATGGGCGGAAAGATTGAAGGACGGACGGTCAAGGGTAACTCTTAATACCCCGTCTCCAATGGTGAGGGCTAAAAAATTAGGAATATAGATCAAATTAGGGTTGATCAGGAAACCTTAACAATGACTTTTTTGGTGCAGTGGAAATGCTATAACCAAGATGTACAATATGATTTAGTGACAATTACACTTTCTGGTAAAGTACATGTAATGATTTTTCTCTAAAGGTCACGAAAAAAACAGAGAAAATATGAGTCAGTTAAAAAACTATGTCTTCCTTTCTCAGATTTGTCATAAAACCCCAAATTACTCTGGATTCATTATTATTAGTGAGATACCAATTTTCGTTGAGTTCATGGGTATAGGTGAACCACGAATTTTAATGTTCAACAAAGATGGAATTTGGTATAGGCTTGTATGCAGCCTTTTGCGAAATCACGAAATAAATATCCACGAAAAATACGATTTTCCCCCAATCGCCGAAAAATGGTACTCTCGAAAATAAATGAAACCACAGTATGTCAAGGAGTTTATTTTCTGTACAACCACATTGTTGACCAAACTTTAAAACAACATAAAAAGATGTAGATTAAATATAGCAATGGTGAGCACCTCCACCCGTCATCTCCTCTACTGACGCCACACTTTGAGCTTTCTGTAGTTTTCGAATACCTTGCGACTTGCTTCGTTTTAACTCAGGAGGTTGCTGTTGCCTTTTTTGCTTTAGACACATTGGACTCACACATACACCATTTATCTATAAATTAAGGGTTCATACAACAATCATCTACAGATTATCTTCTCTCAGAGGAGAAGCTATATATTATATCCAAGTGTGTGAGTTGTGTGTCATCTGTGTTAAGTCGTCCTATTCACAAAAACATCAAATAACATGTAATTTATGACTGATATGTAATCTGATGTCTGAAATTTTTGCGAATATAACTGAAGAAGTTTTATTTATTTATAAGACATTTTACAGATTACTTACCTATGGCATGTTCCATCTGAGTTAGTTTTTAATTCAAAACTTAGTTCATCTACATGTGCCAATAGTTTCATGGCCAAAACAATGTTCTGACATTATTTTGTCCTTAACTAAGAATGTTGTAGTTGAGAAAATATAAATAAATTTGCAGAATATTTTTATATTCATGCTATGCAGTTAGTTTACAGTAAACAGCTCTGATCTAAAACTTTTTACTGAATTTTTTAACTTTTAATCCCCCCCCCCCCCCCCTTTTTATAAATTCAACTTTACAAACAAATTTCTTAAATATTTAACTAATCCTACTTTTTTCTCAACTCGAAAAATAAAAAAGCGCCTGCAAAAATCTATAATTCTATTTATAACAGCAACAAAAAATCCCATATTTTATAACAAAGTAAAAATTTAAGCAAACCAAGACAATACAAGCTGAAAACATGAAAGTATAGTTACAAGAGATGAACATGATTGAAGATGAGTATACATGCTATAATCCCCATATACAAAGCTAGGAATACATGCAACAACAGAGGTCAAACTTAACATGCTGTTATAAATGGACAGATCACAGTTGTGCATTTAAATAGAGACAACAATTTGTGTGTCAACTATTTACTTGACTTTATTCAATATCATAAATTAAACCCAGAGAAATGAAAAATAGACAAGATTGTGATTTGTCCATTTTTAACACTGAAGTTATACTGGAGAAGACTTAGCCGTTGGCCAGAGTTTTTGTCATGCTCAGGAAGACCCATCTTACCCTGCAATTAGAAAAACACACACATATTTTACTAATACTTAAATATATACCAAAGATACCTCAGCAAAAGAAAACTAGTCCTGAAACATACCCGGTTGTAACAATTCTGTAATGCTCATTTTTCTAATTGTCGTATGCCCTTCTTTATCATTTGACAAGTCTAGAACTTCAAGTCTGGGTTTCTTGTCATCCTCTTTGAAAAGCTTATTTTGAATTTGGACACTCATTCGCCTCATACTTTTAAAAAATCCTGTATCTTGCTTTTCCTCATCTGTTTCATCGTCTGTAATCTCTTTATGGTGCTTGTTATGGAAGTCATCATCTCCGTGCGATGATTTACTATTGTTTAAATTGTCACTATCACATGAAACACCAACATCTTCTTTACATTTTTTAGCATGAGATTTTTTACGATGAAAACCAAGTTTATGTAATGAGATTCTCCTGGTTTTTTGTTTTTCTGGAGGTTCCATGTCAATATCAGGTTCTGAGGATGACCTTGGTCTATCGTCACCTTTACCATTAGAGTATTTCCCAATCAAACCACTGGGTTCTGATTTCGTTTTTCCTACTTTCTTCTTTTTTCCCATTATTGGCAATTTTTCGAATGTCAAATTATGTTCATTGTTATTGTTCGTTGGTGTTCTTTCTTCATCCGAGTAGGATGTTTCCGCCAGCTGGACTTTTAAACTTGGAAGCGTGAGTGGTTGAACGGACATCCGACGAATATTTTTTCTCATGGAAGATTCCATACTGATTTCACCGCCTTCATCACTTTCCTTTTTATCATTTAAAGTATTAGTATCATTATCCAAAGTTTCTGCTAAATCTGCAGTTTCAACATTTTCATCATCAACACTAGAATTAACTTCTTGATCACTTTTATCTGAGTCTGTCTGCTGACTTTCTTTAATAGCCAACAAAGGGTAATCGCTAGGCCAAGAGGATTTTTTCTTTAATCTGGCAGGGTTGGTTTCAGGGGATGGTGACTGTAGATTTAAACAAAATAAACAAAACTAAAACATAAAAGTAAATAAAACACAACAACTTAACAAAACAACAAAGGTAAAACAAGGGAACTACCTGGAGGGAAATAGGACAATGATGCATACCACATAAAGTGTTTGGAGGTGTGTATGCATTATCAGTTAGTGCTTTCTTAATGATTCTGGAGAACTTTGCATGGCTTTATCCATTTTTTATGAGGGGATATACTTTTTGCGTTTAAATATGGCTGGTTTTTGATTAAATTTTTTAAAGGAATTGAAAATCACTTCCTTAATTGAAATCAACAGTTGCAAATGTGTATATTTAAATGTGAGTAATATGAAAATTTTTTGCTTTTAAAAAGAAATGTAATTTTAATTTTTTTATAAATCTAACATATCTTTAGTAATAGTCTGAGATACAGATTTAAAGTTACCAAACTTTTTAAACAACCCAAAAAAGATGATGATGATTGAGTTATATTTTTTCTGTCTTTAAATAACAAAGTCTTGTTTTTCTTTAAAATGAAATAATTTTTAAAAAATCTGTATTGATATCAGTTACAGGTAATATACTTTTCTATCTATTTAAGCCTTTTCTCTACAAAAGGTTTCAGGAAAATTTGTTTTTAATTATTCGTCATTTAAGTATAAAAATATGTATAGCATTAAATTCTCCAAAAACATTAAAAGAATCAGGTTGAAACACAATGCAAGCAAACAGCAACTAAAACTACTTTTTCTAAAAAAAAAAAAAAAAAAAAAAAAAAAAAAACAACAACAAAAAATTGTCTACTACTATTTCTACTTTTGTAAATGTACAGTGAAATCCATAACATATGTCAGCAAATACACCAAAATCATCATTTATAAAAAGACAGAAAATTAAATACTTCCCTGCCACGATTCAAAATGATCTGGTAGTCAATGCCTCTTTTAAAGTACCATTAAGAGTTTTATAATTCAGCATTATTGTCATTAAAAGAAATAAAGAAATCGAATTAAAAATTAGCATTAATTATTTAATTTTGTTTGTTACTGCATGAAATTGCTTTGTTTTTTTTTAACATAAATTATTTCTATAATATAGAAGTATAAAAAAGAAATGTTCTGCAGTTTCGAATTAATTACAATCACAATGCTATTCTGTTTTACGACAACATTTGGCTTTCAAATTTCTTTCCTCATAATTAATTCAGGTGTATTGCTAACACTCTAAATGTTATGTATTTCTGAATGGTAACAAATTAAACATCTAAACAAAATCAATTCCTACAGCAAACAAAACTGCAAATAATATTCATGATTTAAAAGCGGAATTAAACTTCGTGTCTCAATTATGGCTCTTTATAAAATGTCATGTTTACCATTGTTCAATGTTTCTATGAACAAATTGAAATTTCATCAATCTTAAAACATTTTGAAATGCAAACAGAATGCAGATATAGCCTATTAAATTGATTTGAGTCATGGTTAAATCTCAAAAATAAGTTGATGAATAGCATGTCATAAATATATATAAGCAATAAATGTTATCTTTGAGTAGTTTTTTCTATTGTTATGATAAAATACTTTTCTATCTAATAGATTTCTTTAAAATACTATCTACTGTGTTTTACTTTGTTGTAAATTTTCAATAATAAGTTTTATTTTACAAATACATGTATCATATTCTTAATGTGTATTTTTGATAAATATCGTTTCAAGAACTAAGTCTCCTTTAAATTGTGTTGTATAAATAATTCTATTAAGACAAATGCGTTATATTTCCCCCTTTTTCACAAAAAAACTCTCATTAAATAGCTTCAGCTTTAAAGTTTTCACATAAACATAATGGAACGAATAATTCATAACAGATAAAAGAGACTTAGTTGCTTGATGTTTATTTATAAATCTAGTACAACACATATTTTTATTGTCCAGCGTGATACTATCGTGATGAATTGTTCCTATACTCCTTACCTCTCAGGTTACAGAACCACAAGAAAATTACTTTAAATAAACACTTATAGGTCAGTCTCTGTAAGCATCAAACATTTATAAAGCAAATTGGTCTGAAGTCACAAAAGTGCAATAAATTCTGCTACTGATATTCACATAATTTAAAAAAAAAAAAGACCTTTTCCTTAGGACCCACGTACGTAGCTGCAAGGTTAAATTCTTTACAATTTTAGCAATTAAATTTTCTGTCAATAATTAAAATTCATCAATTAAAACTTTACTTTAGTTGAATGCTCATCGTTTTAAATCAGTCTGTTACTTAAAAATGTATGGAAAACACTGATGACAATATGTTAAAGACTCTGTATTCCATTTGGTGATTACTGAGACTGCCTTGTAAGTAAAACATTGCTTATCATTCAAGTACAATAGCATTCATATATCTATTTACTTTCTTAAATGATACACCACGGGAAAAGTTGTGAAACATACAATAAATTTTCATCATATTACAAATGATATTTATGTAGAGTTGGTAAATTTTAGAGATAGCAACACTCTGCACACTAAACAGCCTTAACAAAAACTCTCCAAGAAAAAGGAATAAGTTTGTGGCCCACTGTGTGGTCATATTTCTGGCTATACCCAGTTCACCCTGATTTCCTAGTTGCACTTAAAATTCCTCATCCAGTCCTCTTATAAGTACCAATTACTCAAACATGAAATGATTTCCTGTGAATTTTGGAAGAAATCTGAATAACGAAATACCTTAAACAAAGCCTAAAGAATCATTTGTTGCAAAACCTTTACAGTGGTGTATATTTCAAAAATCCTACCTACTTCAAATCTCATCAAAAATGCTTTTCTTGTAAAGAAGCATTTCTACATAAATTTATGAAGATATTCAATGGTTTTAACAAAACACAAAAGTAGGTCTGTTGATAAATTTTCGATCATAAACAGAAAGTTTTCACATCAAATGTTCTGTCTAACAGATGTTTTAACAAAATAAAGTTCATATAACTATCATGTAAATTACCAATGACTGTTTTTGACAAAGGGAGACAATTGACAATTTCCACATAAAATTGAAATATTATCTCCCCTTAGATAACAGGAATCATAAATTACATTTTTTTTACAAAATAGTTGTTCATCAATATGACAGAAGTTTTTTCCCAATATTCTCATGTTTCAATCACTTACTTGATCAGTGGTAGGTGAACGACAGCCTTCCTCATTCCCTGAAAACTCTGCTTGGTTGAACTTTTTACCCCTAGGAGACCTTGGAGCCCTCTGATAGGGATCCATAGAACCTACAAAACACATGCAGAAAACATGCATATATGTATATTAGGCAACAGTAAGAAACATTCTGATACAGAAAAAGAAAGCAATGTTAGAAGTCAAAATACAAATGATAAAAGTGACAGATATAAAAGAAAAGATTTTTTTATACAAGATAGAGATTACTAACCAAAGGAGATAGCAAACTTCCCCTTTAAAAGCATTTGAAATTACCATATTCAACTATACCCTTCCAATATTATTATCTAAGAAAAATTTGAAACCACCACATGTTGAAATATGTCGCAATAGCACAATCATTTCTATATCTGTAATTATTATCAAGCTAGTAAACTTGAAATGCAAAATCATTTCTTTTAGGTAAACATTCTTACATTCTTAAAAAAATAGAATTTCTCCATTTCTTTGATTTGAATTCCTCTTTGTACTTATTAGATCAACACAAAACCATGAGAGATGATGAAGTACCTTTAGAGAGTTAAGTACATAAATTACCAGCCCTCTTACTTAGCAATATAAGATTCTATATTTACCATATAAATCAGGAGTTCCTAAATTTAAAAGACACGTTTTTTGCAGATAATCAATAATTGCTAGACCTGACTCATTACCAAACGCTAATCTGAAAATAAACATAGAGACATGTTCATATTCACAGTATTTTTTTTCTATAAAGTAATGGAAAAACATATCTGATGTATAAAAAGCATTAATATTTTCTAGCAAAATATTTCAATTTTGTAAAATGTTCATTGCCAAAAGCCATTACGAGACCTATGTGTGTTTGTTATTCGCATTCACTTATATTGTCTTTCGTATGAACACATTCAATTTAAGATGTATCTTATTCATTTAAGACTTGGAGAACATGTTTTTTTTCTTCATATAGTTGAAATTGGGCTTTGAACTAGCTTTTAATAACTACCAGTAATCTTTAATAGATTGATACTTTGTGAGTCTATAGTCTTTTTCTTGTTTGTTTTTAAGCTTAGTATGGATCTGATCAATCAAGTCCTTCCCAATTTTGTCATCCCAGTGTTTTATAGCTATCAAGTATGGGTTTTGTTCATTGTTGAAGGCTGTATGGTTATCTTAGTTGTTCATCTTTATCATCATACCACATCTCAATATCTTCATAATAAATTAGATAATGACAGATTAATTTCAGAGTTCCCTGTCTGTTTTCTACCATACAAAACATTTTCTACAGAAAAGGGACATAGTTTTAATTACAATATTGTAATAACTAAATAATAGAAGATAAACAAGTAAAGAACTGTATTGAAATAAAGTATCTAATTTCAATTAAGAGCATTTCCAGAGACTGGACATTTGCCTTCCTAAATGTGTGAAATAAATTTTCAAAAAAATAAAATTTGAAGTGTCATAGTATTTCCATCATTTATAAATATTTCGAGTTTTTATATTCATACTCAGCTAGGAATGAGACCATAATTTACTATGAATCCAAATATGTTCTTTTTCATTTTTGAATGAATGATTTCAGGGTTTCAAGTAATTCAAGGTTTGTAATGTCTTATTCATTTGAGGGTAATTAATGTGACATTCCTATTGTTCATACATATATTACTGATATACTTACAATCCATACACTGAGTTGACCGATATATATGTAATATTTCCAGGATGTTCACTATCGAGATATTGTAATAAACACACTAAATCTGAGTAGTAGCCAGCACTAAACTTCCGACTACCAGACTTTACAATCAAAGCTGTCCCTGTTTCCAGCTGTTAAAATAAGTATGTTTTATGTTAAATAAACATGACATGAATAGACAATGTATTTATTTTGGACTTAAAAATGTAATTTTTCTAATTTTTATTTCAACTTCAGATTTTTCACTACGATTTCTTGCACATTGTTTTCATATTTGTATATCAGAATATGATTTTTTATACGATGCTGGCCGGTATTTTGTTTGCCTGGTTAGTCAATTCATTTAAGGTTATGTTAACAAAATGAATTGAGGGTACCCCTTGTTGCATATGTATATTGGTATCAGCTGATTTTTTTTCCAGTTAACACTGTGGTCTATACAGCCATAAAAGCACATACCTATATCTCACTTTCAGAAATTTTCTTTATAAAGTTTCTATATAATATCTCAGAAATACTATTTGATCAATTTCTTAATAAAAGAATACTCATTGTTGTTCAAATTCTATGTTCTTACTGATTTATACCAACAATCATTCCATAACACAATTTTATACCATTTTTTCGCTATCAATTTTTGTCTGTTTCATTTTATTAGTGAAAAAAATTACAACATAATATTTTAAATTTCATTATATAATAACTTACTTTACAGCTATGACTGTCTGAGGTATTACTTGAGTATGACCCCATACTACCACTTGTGATTATACAATAACTTACTTTACAGCTATGACTGTCTGAGGTATTACTTGAGTATGACCCCATACTACCACTTGTGATTATACAATAACTTACTTTACAGCTATGACTGTCTGAGGTATTACTTGAGTATGACCCCATACTACCACTTTGCTGCTGACTAACTACACTAAGACTTGGGGTAGATGATTTTGGACACTCAAAATCTGGTGAGTCTAAATCATCATACACTTCATACACAATAGAAATATCCAAACTCTACAAAATATTAGACACTTGTTAAATTTTACAAAATCATTTAATAAAGCTCTCTATAAATTTACAGATGTTTTTATAGTATTTCAAGTATTTTCTACATAACCATTTTCCATAAACTCCAAATGGCACACATGCATTACCCCCATTTTCTCACAAGTGCAAAATTCTATTTGAATTTTATCGAGGACTGTTTTGATAGTAAAACATGTAATGTATTGAAACCCAATCTGCTCAAGGGAGGCACTAGTAAATATACGGTTAAATCAGCTGTAGCAAGCTGTTATAGATACCAACATCTATGTCAGGGCCTTTTATAGCTGACTATATGGTATGGGTTTTTCTCATTGCTGAAGATCTTACAGTGAACTATAATTGCTTGTATCTTCGTCATTTGAAATCTGGTGGCTAGTTGTCTCATTGTCAGTAATACCACATCTTATTTTTTTTCATATCTAACAACTGTTTATATAGCTCTAGATAAAAGAATGTTACAAGAAAATTGGTAAAGATATGTATAATTGGTATTGATATGAAGTAATGATTTAAAGGAAAAATGATGTATGCCAAAACAACATTTTAATTTGTAATAGACAGGAGGACCGGGTGTTATACTGAATAGATATCATTTATACCTTTTACAATTTCAATTGATACAAAATATTTGACAGACATTCTTGGAAATATTTTTTGGCTTATACTGTTATTAGTCATTTTAATGACTGTCCATTTTTGGTGCTTGTAGGCTTAGCATTAATACACCAATGGGACACAAAGAAAACTAATATTCTTATTTATATCAATATACAGCATAAAAAAAAAGTAATGTTGTGATAAAATATTTATTCGAAAGTTATGCATTTTTTTCGCTTCATTTTTTTCAAAGTTAAAATGTTATTGGTAATTCATGACGTACAACTTTTTGACAATCTGTAAATTAATGTGATTTGCCTTATGTATGCTGACATAGTAACACATGACATGTTCGGCAATCTTTTAATTTTGTATTTGAAATCTGTTTTCTGTTATCATTTTAACACAAAACATCAATCTATTCTCAATATAAATTAAAATCTAATACTCACTGAGACTTCCGTTGATACCTCTTGTTTTGAGAATTTAAAGAGTATTAAATGAGTTGCTCCCGCTAAACACAATATTCGGCTCTCTGGACACAAATGTATTAAATACACAGCAAATGGATCGTCATCTTGACTTTCCTTTTTTGGTTTTTCAAATATTTTGGCAGTTTTTAATTTGTACAAAACTTGAAGTGTAACTGAAAGAAAAAAATATTCATAAAAATAAGGCAATGTGGTATGATTGCCAAGGAGTCATAATTGACATGAATTTTTTTAATCCAAATGAATGCAAATCTAAATATGCTGGACAACCTTAAACAAATTTCTTGAATTTTTTTGGCAAATTTTTCCTATCCAAACTGGTTGCTGTTTTTTTTTTTTTTTTTATCAAGTTTGCTTGTTTTGCTCTTAAGATAAAATTGCAAGAATATCCTCTTGTGTGTAAATTTGATATTTAAGAAAACAATCTTGGAAAAGAAAAATGCAAAATTAAAAACAGGTTTGACCCTAGAAACCATGACTTATGATATCTGCGAAAATAAACCACTGTACAGCAATATTCAAACAATATTTATGTTTTTACTCTCCATCTCTTCTCTGCTGAGGCAAATGTTTTTTTCAAAGTGCAAAAACTGCATTAATGTGTTATTCTTTTGAGTTTTACAATGTTCAAAAAATATACATGTGATATATCTTACCTGATGAAGCATCCCAGAACTTGACAGATCCATCAGCATGACTAAAATACAAAAAAAAAAAACATATTCTCTAAATATTAATGCATTTAAATCAGTTCAGATCAGTTGGATAAATCTGTAATAAACCACATGTTCATTGTTTAATAGTTAAATGTATGATTTCCAGACAAATCTTTATAAACTATAGTGTGCATTCGTTTTTTAAGAGACATTTGTTTCTACACTAATTTTGATTCATCTATAAAATTAACAGAGAGTTGATGGCAGATACTTGATGGTCTCAGTACAATTTATTCACAGCTTTTTTTAGACTAAGGGTATATATAGACATGACTGTAAGAGACACCTGTCAAAAATATAAACAGTATGTTGACCTCTAGATGTCTTGTTTTTTTTGTACTGTTGGGTTGCTGTCTCATTGATGTATGCCCCACATCTTCCTTTTATTCATATATAATTTATAAAATATTAATAAGCCCTAAATGAAATATTTCCTGCTACATTCTTCATTATCAGTTTTTATTTAGACTGAAAAATCCCAGTATTTCATTGCGAACGATGTAATAATTTTCTTTATTACTAACCCTGTAATGAGAATTTCTGGATAACTACATGTGGTTGTTCCCCATACTCCTCCTTTGATTGGCCATTCCTATAATAAAGTTTATACATATATGAACTTTCCAAATTGACAGCATGTTCCTGTTGGTCTGTTCAAGAGTTTACACATTCAAACAAATTATTTTAAGATTTACAAAACCTGTTTACATTGAGATATGTCTTCCCAGTTTGGCAACAAGATTTGGTATACTTTCCTCCACGTAAAAATAATTACAATTTCATGTTAAATACTTAGTCCTTCTAAAACTCCTATGACCAGAAAGATAAACATTGAACAGTGTTATTACTTCAAACAGAACATGACTGACAGGTCAGGGATTATATTTTGTTTGTTACCGAGTCACCTGATAAGAACGAAGGAATGGATGCACAGACCATATAAAACATAATACTACTATCTAGCTGGGCATAAAAATTAGTTTCAAGTATGTAAACCATATCACATCTAGAGCTGAGGACTGAACTTTAATGTTTTTTAAAGATCAAGTTTTTAAATATCTTGATGATTCCATTTATGTGGCTTTAAGATCCTTAATTCTAATATGATGCTCTTCTTTCGCTTTGTAAACTGTCATGTCTAATTTCAATAGAACATGGGGTACATGTATTTGACATCACAATCACATTGCAACATCAATTGTACTTTGAACAATGCAGGATATCAAAATGGGCATTTGTGTCAGTGTTGCTTGCTAGGAAATTAAATAAAATCAATCTTACAGTAAGTTTACATGTTTCAATTCATTTTCTAATCGTGAACCATTGGTTTTCTAGAACATTTGTACTTCATCAAACAATAAATGGGTAATGTGTCCATGGGACACAGATGATGCCCCGCTTGCATATAACGTTATAAAGGGACATAACTTAAGAACGGTAAAAGTGACGCTACCCAAATTTGTACTTGATCTGAGTTTTGTTGTAATAAGCATTGTGTATAAGTTTCATAACATTTGCTTGAGGCAAACTTAAGTTAGAAAACAAAAACGAAAAATTCAGCAATTTCTCCATTTGTAAAGGGGCATAACTCAATAACAGTAAATGTGAGGCCATCAAAATTCAAATTTGATCAGTGTTTTGTGGTAATAAGCATTGCACATAAGTTTCATAACATTTGTTTGAGGCAAACTAAAGTGAGAGAACGGAAACGAAAATTTCAGCAATTTTTTTTATTTGTAAAGGGGCATAATGCTAGAATGGTAAAAGTGACGCTTCCCAAATTCAAACTTGATCTGTGTTTTGTGGTAAAAAGCAATGTGTTTAAGTTTCATAACATTTGGTTGAAGCAAACTAAAGTAAGAGAACGGAAACGAAAATTTCAGCAATTTTTTTATTTGTAAAGGGGCATAACTCTAGGACAGTAGAAGTGACGCCACCAAAATTCAAACCTGATCTGTGTCATGTGGTAATAAGCATTGTGTATAAGTTTCATAACATTTGGTTGAGGCAAACTAAAGTTAGAGAATGGAAACCAATTTTGGGACGTACGGACGGACGTACAGACAGACAAGGGTAAAACTTAATGCACCCTCCGCTACGGCGGGGGCATAAAAAGGGCTGCCTTTCGTACATGTCTTATAGGTTTGCATCAGTGAACAAAAGTTATGAATTATATCATGCCATGCTCTATGCTCATTTTAAAATGGGTCTACACCTTGCTTACTCTCAGTATAAAAATATTGACTAATAAAATGCCTATCCTTGTTAAAACGAGCATAGATCATGGCATGACAGAATTATTTCTTAATTAATGTTAAAACATTAGTTGAAGAACTTACTTTCTCACTGAATCCACTCCTTTTTTGTTTGGATCCAACAGAATAAAATGCTGGTATTATATCTGGGGGACAGTCAGCATAGTATTGTAAGGCTGTAACAGGAGACTCATGGATATCCATAGGATATGGATTCTCAAAACATGGATATCTGTAAAATAAGTAAGATACTGTGCATATTTTAAATGATTTTTTTCTCATTCTTTCTGATTTTCTAATCATAACAAAAAAAGTGTGTATCTTAATTGGCAATATATATATTATTTGTGGATTTCATGGGTAAAAGTCAACCACGAATTTAAATGTTCAACAAAGTACAATTTTTCTATAGGCTGTATGCAGAATTTGGAAAAACATTAATTTTAGCCGACATGACATAATAAAATGCTCCGCAGGGCGCAGCTTGATACGACCGCAGAGGTCAAACCCTGAACAGTTGGGGCAAGTATGGACACAACATTCAAGCTTGATACAGCTCTGAATTTGGATTGTGATTAAATATTTGACACAGCATAGGTTTCTGACACAGAATGAATGTGGTCTAAGAACTTAAAAATTTTAAATTGGACATTCACCTATTATGGTCCAATATCCAAAATCTAAATACATGGTTAGATTCAGCATATCAAAGAACCCCAAGAATTCAATTTTTGATGAAATCAAACAAAGTTTTATTTTAGACCCTTTTGACCTCAATGTGGACAAAGTTGATAACGGGGCCCAAAAATCAAAAATCTAAATACATGGTTAGATTCAGCATATCAAAGAACCCCATATATTCAATTTTTGTTGAAATCAAACAAAGTTTAATTTTGGACCCCGATTTGGACCAACTTGAAAACTGGGCCCATAATCAAAAATCTAAATACATGTTTAGATTCAGCATATCAAAGAACCCTAAAAATTCAATTTTTGTTAAAATCAAACTAAGTTTAATTTTGGACCCTTTGGACCTTAATGTAGACCAATTTGAAAACGGAACCAAAAATTAAGAATCTAAATACACGATTAGATTCGGCATATCAAAGAACCCCAATAATTCAATTTTTGATGAAATCAAACAAAGTTAAATTTTGGACCCTTTGGACCTCAATGTGGACCAATTTAAAAACGGGGCCCAAAATCCAAAAACTTAATACATGGTAAGATTCAGCATATTAAAGAACCCCAAGAATTCAAGAATAAAACCCCATTGAAATTGATCAAGAAATAAGCAATTTATACGAAGTATCTTCTTTTGCACAATACTGTGCAATTGAATATTTCTTGCTATTGCGCAATACTGTACAATTGACAATTCTTGCTATTGTGCAATATTGTGCTATTGGATATTTCTTGCTATTGCGCAATACTGTTCAATTGAAGATTTCTTGCTATTGCGCAATACTGTGCAATTGAAGATTTCTTGCTATTGTGCAATACTGTGGAATTGAAAATTTCTTGCTATTGCACAATACTTATTATATAATAATTTACACATCCTGTTTGGTGTGTATCTCCTACCATATCATTATTATTTGCTTTTAAATATAAATCAGAAATAACCAACTTAAAATGGAAAATTTTAAAAGAAAAAAAAAGAAAAAAAAAAATCCCCCCCCAAATTTTTTGAACCCCCTTATGATTCATCACCCCCAAACTCAATCCCAGCCTTCCCTTTGTGGTATGGTACCTTGCAGTACAATTTCAGAGAGATCCATACACTTGAACACAAGTTATTGTCTGGAAACTAGAAAAATGCTTATTTTTGGCCCCTTTTTGGCCCCCAATTCCTAAACGTTTAGGGCAATTACCCCCAAACTCAATTCCAGCTTTCCCTTTGTGATATGGAACCTTGTAGTACAATTTCAGAAATATCCAAACACTTACACTCAAGTTATTGTCATGAAACTAGAAAAATGCTTGTTTTTTGCCCCTTTTTTGGCCCCTAATTCCTAAAATTTTGAGGCAATTACCCCCATAATCAATTACAGCCTTCCCTTTGTGATATGGAACCTTGTGGTACAATGTCAGAGAGATCCATACACTTACACACAAGTTATTGTCTGGAAGTTACAAAATGCTTATTTTTGGCCCCTTTTTGGCCCCTAATTCCTTAACTGTTGGTACCATAACCCCCAAAATCAATCCCAACCTTCCTTTCGTGGTATTGAACCTTATGGTAAAATTTCATGGAGATCCATTCACTTAAACTAAAGTTAGAGTGCGAAAACCAATGTGTCTTCGGACGACGCCGGACGACGACGACGACCGCCAACGTCATACCAATATACGACCAAAAAATTTTCAATTTTTGCGGTCGTATAAAAACCACGAATCAAAGAATTCAACTTTATAAATAATTAATTATATAAGACAATAGTGTTGATTAAAAATTACACCATTTCAGGCCCTTTTGTTTTCCACATAATAAGTATTACCAATAATTAACAAGTTCCGGGTCAAATCCAATACCGATACCAATAGTATGTGTCGCATGTAGTTTCTGGTTGTAGTAAGAAAACCAGGACAGGTTCAAACAGAAAGATTTTGAATGCAGAGAAAACTGTGCACCTTATTATAAGCAGGACTTTATTAGATGACTATACGAATAATAAAATTCCAGGCTAAAAATTAGGCATAGGTACTTTCCAATTTGTTAGCTGGCATGATGTAAAAATGACGAATCAAAGAATTCAACTTTATATATAACTTTTATAGGACAAGGGTGTTGATAAAAAATTACATCATTCCAGTCTCTTTTGTTTTCCTTCGGGTCGATGGGTTCTTAAAAAAGATTTTGAAAGCAGTGAAAACTCTGCATCTTATAATCAGCATGACTTTATCAGAAGAAAATGTGAATACTAAAAATCCAGGCTAAAAATAAGGCGCAAGTACTTTAATTCAGTCAGTGACACGCGATGTTATGAGTGTGTTCTAGTATGATATAATTTAAAGCCATAGCACGATATGAAAATCTTACCCAGGAGTTGTTAAGTCGACCACCACCAAATCATTCTGTAACAACACCACTATAGCATAAGGTTCTTGAAAATCTGCAAACAAAACAAAAAATAATGTTACTTCTTTTCAAATACAAGATTCACTTAATAATATACACTTTGAAAACCCATACTCAAGAGGTACAATTCATTTGATGAATTTATACAGTATACCCAAAATAGAGCATTCTTCAAGATACTGTAAACCAACTTATTATTGTGTAAAACCCTTTCTAGCCGACTTGGCAACAATTTATTTCATTGGTTTTTTAATTTACTTTTGTTGGTTTTCTAATTTTCTTGATGTATTTATATAAGGGAAGATCAAAGTTTTACATTTTAGTGACTATTTATCACCGCGTTATTCTTTACTTGTGACAAAGGTGGGGAAAAAATTTGCTCATAAAAAATAAGTTGGATTATAGTATTAACAGCTCACATTTGGTATGCTTACAATATTATACATATGCAGCCCCAAAGGCTTTCCATTAACTGGAAATTAGGGTTCTGCAACAAAACCCCACCTGCCACTTTTAGAAGAAAACTTCATTATCAAGTTGGTTGAAACCCATTCTAGTTTCACTTACAGGATTTAGTTTGAAGTGACAATCTGAAGAATATGCATTTAACAGGAGCAGAAGACACTTTGCCTTAATCAATTGCACCATACAGTTTGTATCTGGCCTTTCTGATTAAAATAAATGGAGAATGTGTCCATGGGACACAGATGATGCCCCCGCCTGCATGCAACATGATAAAGGGGCATAACTCTAGAACAGTAAAAAGTGACACCACCCAAATTTGAACTTGATCTGTGTTTTGAGGTAATAGGAGGGTGTATAAGTTTCATAACAGTTGGTTGAGGCAAACTAAAGTTAGAGAATGGAATCAATCTTGGGACGGGATGGGACGGGACGGGACGGGATGGGACGGAAGTACAAGGGTAACACTTAATGCCCCCTCCAGTGACAGTCGGGCATAAAAGTCATAAGATATTCTAATCAGTGGTATTTTCCCTTTTAAAATTCATGAACTATCAGAGAATGACAAACTGTACAAAATAAATATTAAGCAGTATAAATTGGGATGGTTTATAAATTGTTAATCACAATCAAATAGCAAAAGACTCTGCGAGTAACTACAAAGTCAATGTATACTTAAAATAAATGAAGAATGTGTCCATGGACACAGATGCCCCGCAAATTTTGCAATTTTTTTAATTTACAAAGGAACATAACTCGAGAACAGTGAAAAGTGACGCCACCCAAATTTGAACTTGATCTGTGTTTGGTGGCAATAAGCATCGTGTACAACTTTTATAACATTAGGTTGAGGCAAACTAAAGTTGGAGAATGGAAACTAATTTTGGGATGTATGGATGGACAAGGGTATAGCTTAATGCCCCCTCCACCACGGAGGGGACATAAAAATTACAAAACATCTAATTGAGTAGACTGTTCATGGTCATTTGGACTCTGATGAATAACTATTTCATTGGCAATCAAAATGCATCTCTTTATTTTTCTATGGGTATGGTTTTATTTCACTGTTAAAACATCCAGAAAGTGAAGCAATGTGGAAAACTTTATGAAATAAGTTTTACATGTGGTGGAATTGCTATATAAGTCTGAATTGTAAAAAACATTATGACATCTGTTTGAGCTGGTCATTCTTATATGAAACAAACTTTGAACAATGTTTATCTGACACTGCTCCCCATACTGGACAATCAGTTTACAATTACATACCATTTACCCATGGTGTCTCACACAGAACAACAAAATCAACAATGTTGTGCTCCATTTCTAAAACAGTTGTACTTTTACCATTCATCACAGTTATTGTTGGTGTCCGTCCGGCCCTGTCATATGACATGCCACCAGAAAATATTACTAATGGTTCACTGTAAAAAAAAAAAATTTAGTTAAAATTAAAACATTTAGTTGTTTACTTTCTGTATACTATTAAATCAAAGAGTACTTTCCACAAAATGTAAACTAAAAGTTAAAACTTCTAAAGACAGACATAATTTTGCTAACAGAAAAATAAATTTCAGAAGAGGGAATTCCACTTCCAAGTGGAAAAATTATAGAACTAGAAGGTCTACTGTTTAGGTAAAAAGAAAAAGAAAACCTCATCTACTTTTTTTTTTAAATTGTATGAAAAAAACTAATAAAAGTAAATTAAAAGAGCTAAATCATGCTGCAAATATAACCAAAGATCCCATGAAAATTTTAAAAATGTAATAAAATTTCACCATATTCAAACTGTTCACCAAAAAGAGACAAAATGATATAAAAATTGAATACAGTATGTATACAAAGAATGATTAATTATCAATTATGGGATAGTTTTTGACAGCTGTCACTGACAGAGCATTTAATATCATGACAAGAAATGCATATTACAGGGATTACAGGGGATTTTCAAGAAATACTTGGCATCATTCTTAGGCAGATACTCAAATATAAAGCAAAAAGTATCAATATATTTTTTCTTTAGTTCTAGTCAAAACTAGGATTAATATTCCTTACACATACATTTTCCTTACTGAAAGATCTGTATTTGTTCTAGAAGTTATATCAAATACAAAGGCATTCTTAATATCATGCAATAAATGTATCTTTTCTAAATACATAGAAAATTTAACAATACTTTTAGATATTTGGATGATATATTGGCTCTCAATAATGACGACTTCAGTGTGTATACTAAAGAAATTTATCCTGTTGAACTTACTTTAAATAAAGCTAATACTAACAATGACCACTGTCCTTTCCTCGATCTTGATATCTATATCATTAACGGGAAGCTTAATACAAAAATTTATGATAAAAGAGATGATTTTTCATTTCCTATCGTTAATTATCCATTTTTAGATGGTGACGTTCCCTTGTCACCATCTTATGGTGTTTATATATCTCAACTTGTACGATTCGCTCGTGTATGTAACAACGTATTAGATTTTAGCGAAAGAAATTTATGTACTACTGAAAAATTATTACACCAGGGTTTTCGATATCATAAACTAGTCAAAACATTTACTAAATTTTATCATCGGTATAAGGACATCATTTGTAAATATAACTCAACATGCAGACATCTTATACGTTCGGGTATTTCACATCCCATCTTTTATGGTAATATTCTTTACAAAGCACAAAAATCTCAGTATTCACCTCAAAAGCTAACAAAACCTTTAAACAGACTTATTAAGAAGGGATATAGTTACGATACTGTTGTCAGGTCATTAAAGATTGCATATTTTGGCTTTAATATTGATTCACTTATAGGGTCTTTGCATCGGAATTAAATATATTTATTCTAAAACCAGTTGTTGGCATGACACGGGTTATGTTCTTCTCATATATTTTATGATGGTATAATACTAAACCCCTAACAGGAGGGATTGTGCCTGATATTCATATGATGAAGACATAATCTTTCAATCAGTTTAATTGAGGTCTGGAGCTGGCATGTCAGTAACTGCTAGTAGTCTGTTGTTATTTATGCATTATTGTCATTTTGTTTATTTTCTTTTGTTTCCTATTCTGACATCGGACTCAGACTTCTCTTAAACTGAGTTTTACTGTGCGTACTGTTGTACGTTTGTTTTTTCTACATTGGCTAGAGGTATAGTGGGAGGGTTGAGATCTCAAAAAACATGTTTAACCCCACCGCATTTTTGCGCTTGTCCCAAGTCAGGAGCCTCAGGCCTTTGTTAGTCTTGTATCATTTTTAATTTTAGTTTCTTATGTATAATTTGGAGTTTAGTATGACGTCCATTATCACTGAACTAGTATACATATTTGTTTAGGGGCCAGCTGAAGGACGCCTCCGGGTGCGGGAGTTTCTCGCTGCATTGAAGACCCATTGGTGGCCTTCGGCTGTTGTCTGCTCTATGGTGGGGTTGTTGTCTCTTTGACACATTCCCCATTTCCATTCTCAATTTTATAGAGCACTGAACACTAGTAAGTCATTGTACCTACAGACCATAAAAATGGGAAAATGTTTTTTTGAATTAGTAATTTGATTGCAGACGTAAAATCAATGTCACTTTTGCAAAGTTTTGGACTGAATTAATTAATTAGCGGGACATGCTTCACAATACCATCTTTTTTAAGTTTTGCCCACATTACATTAAGGGAGACTATTTTAAAGATTGCTTTCTTCAGAATTCATCTAATTTAAATAAAAACATTTGTTCAATTTCAATGTATAAATAAGTTCACAAGTATTTAGTGGTTTAAAATCATAAAATTTGGTTAAGGATGCATATAGTGGACATGAACAGCTTCCCACTTTAAAGTAACTAACTCTGACCTGTATTTCTTGCTTATCTTACATATTTGGTAAAAGTTTATCAAATACTAAATATAGATCTACATCTTGAGAAATAAAATGTCCATTCCATCATCTAAAGTAGGTCTACACTGAACACTGAACTGACTTATGTTAAGTTTTATGTACAAATTAAGTGTTAAACTACAAAATGACCTATAGGGAAACATCCTCCAACCAAAAGTAGGGCACTATGTCCTTCAATTCACCAACATAGCCCATATATAATCTCCATGGAAATGAGATGTGCTAATGCTTATAAAACTGCATACCAATTATCATTGACCTACCACTAGTGGTTTTCCTTAAACTGACCTAATCACAAACTAATACATGTAAACTAAGCAAAAGTTTCAAAGTCAAAAGACCATGACTGAAGGGGAGGGCCAAATAATCTCCATGGAAATGAGATATGCCAATGATTATACAACTGCATACCAAATATCATTGACCTATCACTAGAGATTCACCATAAACTAGACCTAATCACAAACTAATACATTGTTGACGCTGCTGCTGCTGCTGCTGCCGGAAACAGCATACCTATGTCTCGCTTTTTGACTCTGTCAAGGCGAGACAAAAATCAACCTAAATTTAATCACATTAAGTTTTTTTATGTCCCTTTTAAACCCATTATTTTTACCCATAAAAGCTTGTGATTACATTAAGTTTACGATCAAATACAGAGAAACAGGTCACTCTGTTATAAGATATAACATATGTTTTCTGCAGTGATTTATTGCATGAACTTGTATGTATGCACTAATAGGATTAAGTATTTATCTTATACTTCTTTTTATACAATATTTCCAGATACACAAAATTGTATAGCTCATAGTGTAGAAATCCTTGACCTTAAACATGCCGAAGGTACAGCTAAGACAGGCAATGTCATTACATATATTTTAAAGACAAGAAGCTGGTCTGGATAAAATCATGAAATATCAAAATGTTTTCACATGCTTTTTTTAGTCCCTGAAGGTATAATGCTCTGTATAATTTGAAGAGGCTTATACTCACCGTTCAAAAAAGTTAAAACTAATCAGAAGAATAAATTAAATTAAGCCACAGCTAAATATTTGACAGAAAATAATCATACAAGGAGGACTAAATAATGAACTGATAATATTTTCATTGAAAATAATCATACAAGGAGGACTAAATAATGAACTGATAATATTTTCATTGAAAATTATATGCCTAAAATTGATGTACAGAATGAAAAATAATTGGTTTGGCCTTATGGATGCATACTACTATGACTTTGAAACTAGAGGTACAAAAACAGCCTGTATCGCCCACCTCGTGTCTTTTACCTAAATGTTACATTTTTAGGAATGGTTATCTTCAGCAAATACAGCCTTCAAGTCTTTCTAATTTGATGAAAAAATATTTTATCAAATTTATGCATTCAAAGGAGACACCCACATCTATATATGAGCTGCATCGGATAGAAATCTACCTTCAGCAAATGAATATCAAAACAATTGTTAACTTATATCAGGTTGAAAAAAATAGTCTGTAACTGTTTGAAAATGGAGTTGTTATTAGAAAAAAACAGACCAAAATTCATTTTTTATTTCGTATTTGAATGTTCCTAAATCAATCAAAGTCTTATGCACTTGCATAAGATCTATATATGTATATAGTTCTCTGCACTTTAAACACTTGTTTTGAATGCCCTATAAAGTCTGTCACCTTCAGTAACACTATAATTAAATTGTCTTCCATGAAAAACAATTGAATAAAAACAAAACCATTAACACTCATTATTAAATAACATAAAATAAGAATGTATTTCAAACAAAATAAATTAACACTCTATCAAAACAACTGACAATGACGTAAAACGTTATTATCACTTCTATTTATTGTAATAATAAATATTCAAATAATTTATTATTTTTCACAATGACATTTCAGAAATCCGAAAATATTGAGCTGTAAACAAGACTGTTTTGGAAACTAGAATCTAATTTTAGAAGTGAGATGTTTATTTGAACTTATTTTTTAGTAGAATTTTGACATCCTAACTTATGCATGTGTTAAAAAATTTTATTACAACTGTTTAATGATATATTTGAATTTCACCTTAAAAGTTTAACAAATTGGTTAGGTGTTGAAAACAATATCATGCAAGCAAAACAGCTTACTCCAGGTGATCTTTTTTTAACTTAGAATCTAAATCTGGAATCAAAGACAAATGTATGAATAATATATACTGAAAAATGTTCAGCCAGTTCAAATTTACATACAATTCATTTTTTCACATTTGTTGCCTAATGTAAGTGTAACTTATGTTAAACAAATGTATATTCCATTTACAAACCTATTTTTGACTGATTTCCATTCTACTTTTGCTATTGGTTTACATGGTTCTGCTTTTCCATCACGCCCCGTCTTTGCTGAAATTAAAAACAAGGCATACTATTATTCAAACTCAATAATAAACCAACAACATAAGTCATTACTAGAAACGTTGATATTTTCACAGGTCTTTTTTTTGTAATTTTGATGCATACTTTTCATGTGGGGTTCTGTATCTGCATAATACTGGAAATGAACTTAAAAATTGCTGAGTAAAACTTATCCAGGATATGTGTGAGTGCCACTGTCTCAACTGTGTAGTCGTGCAAGATAACTGCCTTAAAACTTTCCAATATTTTACAATTTATTGCACTGTTTGACAATGAGCTCCAGTCATTCACAGTTTGTAGAAAAAAGAATGTTTGTAAATGTTAGTATTTGCTCATCAAATTTTCAGTTGTTTTTGATTTGAAGTTCTTGATGTTCTGTTATTGTATTCAATATGATGTTCAATGAGGATGGCTACTAGGTTGTTCACTATTTTGTACAGTAGTTCAAGGCGCTGTTGTTTCTTCCTTTCCTCAAGAGGTTTCCATCCAAGGTCCTTCATCATGGAGGTGACACTACTGGTACGCCTATAGTCTTTGCATACGAACCTACCCGCCCTTCGTTGTAAGCTCTCTATACGGTTAATATCATTCTGTAGATACAGCTTGTCTTTTAAATTTACCCATTGATTGAAAAGTTAACCCTATCCCATCAATATTGTTGGTTTGTAGAAACTTTTTGCGCAGGAAAAATTATTGTGCCTTTTACATGATTGTGAATTAGGCAAACACATCCCCTGCACAGAAATTTTCATGTTTACATTATCTGACTGAGTCTTTTCAAACATAGAAACTATTTACACACATCAAACGCTTGATTTTTCTATCTGGAGGTATAGATTGTGTTAGTCATATTAGACACATTTTTTTCAGATTTTTGGTTTTTAAAGCTCTTCAACTTCATATTTGGCTTTTCCTTCCAACTTATTTAATTTGAGCATCACTGATGAGTCTTTAGGTTAACGAAGCAGGTGTCTGGCATACAAAATTATAAGCCTGGTGTCTTAGATGAGTTTATAACTATAAAATAAGTATCAAAAGACCTTCTGTATATAGAATAGAAATTAAAATTAATTCATATAATTTAAGATATGGAATTGTCATAAACAGATTAATTTCACAAGATACAGTTAGATCAAACTTCTCTTAATACATCAGTTTTCAGTATGACTTGCCGCTTAGGTTCTTTCCAATATTCAAAAAAGTGTAAAATCTACATAAAAGAACCATAATATAACCGTGTCTTTATTGGAATGACAGTTTATATGATATTAAATAATATTGTCTTCCCATAACCTATAACGTGCATTGATTTTTTCCACTAGGAGAACTATTTTTTACTACCCATCTTCTGTCACTTCAAACAACTTAAGCAATTAATACAAATTATGGTTGAATTGATCAAATAGACAAACATATATTCTTTATTCCAAAATCATTTTTTTAATTAGATGTATTAAACATCTGTCAAAATGTCTACATAAAATTTAGTAATTGATAAAAAGTCTAATTGAGCAAGAAATCGTTTTAGAGCAAGTTTATGAAGTTTATAAAACTTGATTGAGGCTGGCTGCAATTGATGGGGTTTATTTAACAGTTCTAAGGGTAGACTTGTGCGTAGGTGGTGATGATCTCCTGAAGTCTCTGACCTTTTGTTAATAATGCAATATACTCTTTCTTCTAGTATCTAAGTCTTTATTCTATCAATATTCATATGCTTGCCTGCTTTATTTGATTTTATACAATAAAGCACAATTGTCTACTTTTTCTGGATAAAAATTTTGTAAAAAAAAACCCACATTGAACCATACATATTACTATTTCAATTAATTCATCATTATTTCCAAAAGGCTGTAATTCAAATTTTGGTTTGTTTGTCATAACATATATATACAATGTATTAAAAAAACATGTCATTTTCTGTATATTTTGGAAAACTACCAATAAAGTTTATCTACATGTATGATCATAACCATGTACTTCCTACATACATGTATAATTGTATAACTAATCAGGACAATTGTGTTCCTGGATCAATACTGATTAAAACATTTATACTCATATTTACAGCTTACATTATAATTATCTAACTGTTATGTGCTCAGAGGGATATAACCTTAAATGTACAAAAAAAACCATCAAATTATAATTTCCAATTTTTTAGTGGTTTTAATCATTTATACTGCAACTGTGCTATTTGCGCAAAAAAAAAATGCATTGACTATACATTCATTTGTCATGTAATCACTGACTGTAAATTGCCTTATTTATGAAGTTGACAATGCGTTTCTGTAGAGGAATTTTACATTGTCCAACTCGTCCCCTTCAAATCCAAAATTGATGGTTTTTACCCTAAATATTTCATTTGGAACAGTTGTGAGTTTTAGTATAACATGTATAAAGAGAATAACCTTACATTGTCGTATAACAAAATTTTATTTGTTCTCAGCTTGAAAGCAGATAGAAAAGCTTGGAAAAGCCTTGCATACTACGTGTTTCTAAGCCTTGTACAAATAAATTTTATATTTCAAGACAATGTCTGGTTATTCAAAACAGTATTTTTCATTTGTATTCTATAGATACTGTTAACTTTTGACAGATATTTGTAATACATTACCATGTGGCATCATTAAATCTATGTATTTTGGTGGCTGTCGAACATTATATCTCGTTAAACTACCATCTGAATGGCTACACATAAACTGCTTCCCCTCATGATGCCAGGAAACAGATCTCAGAGCCTGCAAATATTATAAACTGACATATATAGCAAATAGAGAAGTAAAACAAGAATACACATGTTATCATTCTAAGCGTATCCCCACTCATAATTCATAGAATCTGAAAAGGAGTAGGTGTAAAAAAGAGAGCTCTTACACGTTACAACTCATTTTTGTCAAGCTGCTGACCAAATTTGAAGTAATGCTGTTTAGTAACACTAGAGAAAAGTGCAACCCCCTTCTTGTATGTCTTTGCTCATGTTGTCAACAAAGGGGGGGGGGGTGTTTGAAAGGAAGTCTTTCCAAAAATGTCTGACGAAAATACATGTTGGACAAACAGCAGATTGAAATACATAGATATTAAACCTAGACAAAAGTACAACAAGGGTGAAAACTCTAACATGTCTTGCTGCTTTACTGATCATGAAGTACAACAAGGGTGAAAACTCTAACATGTCTTGCTGCTTTACTGACCATAAAGTACAACAAGGGTGAAAACTCTAACATGTCTTGCTGCTTTACTGACCATAAAGTACAACAAGGGTGAAAACTCTAACATGTCTTGCTGCTTTACTGATCATGAAGTACAACAAGGGTGAAAACTCTAACATGTCTTGCTGCTTTACTGACCATAAAGTACAACAAGGGTGAAAACTCTAACATGTCTTGCTGCTTTACTGACCATAAAGTACAACAAGGGTGAAAACTCTAACATGTCTTGCTACTTTACTGATCATGAAGTACAAGGGTGAAAACTCTAACATGTCTTGCTGCTTTACTGATCATGAAGTACAAGGGTGAAAACTCTAACATGTCTTGCTGCTTTACTGATCATGAAGTACAACAAGGGTGAAAACTCTAACATGTCTTGCTGCTTTACTGATCATGAAGTACAACAAGGGTGAAAACTCTAACATGTCTTGCTGCTTTACTGATCATGAAGTACAACAAGGGTGAAAACTCTAACATGTCTTGCTACTTTACTGATCATGAAGTACAAGGGTGAAAACTCTAACATGTCTTGCTGCTTTACTGATCATGAAGTACAACAAGGGTGAAAACTCTAACATGTCTTGCTGCTTTACTGATCATGAAGTACAACAAGGGTGAAAACTCTTAACATGTCTTGCTGCTTTACTTATCATGAAGAACAACAAGGGTGAACACTCCAACATGTCTTGCTGCTTTATTTATCATGAAGTACAAGGGTGAACACTCCAACATGTCTTGCTGCTTTACTGATCATGATTGATTGGATCAATGTTGAAAGTCAAAGAGAAAAAGGACAACTTACAACAATTTGTAGATTTCTTGTTTTATATCAAAATTTGAAGAACATTTTGGCCTAATAATTTCCAAAAACTCTCCAATCTTCAAATCATTCAATCTTTTTTTCCAAGAGTCATCTGTGAATGTTTAACAATGTGAAACAAGAATGTGTCCATAGTACACGGATGCCCCAATCGCACTATCATTTTCTAAGTTCAGTGGACCATGAAATTAGGGTCAAAACTCTAATTTGACCTTAAAATTAGAAAGATCATATCATAGGGAACATGTGTACTAAGTTTCAAGTTGATTGGACTTCAACTTCATCAAAAACTACCTTGACCAAAAACTTTAACCTGCAGCGGGACAGACGGACGGGTGGACACACAGACCGAAAAAACATAATGCCCATAGGTTGGGCTTAAAAAGGTAAAAAAAATATAAGTAAAAAAAAAACCTCAAATTTTCAGGATGGATCTATAAGATTTGTGAAAGTTATAACAGAAAAGGCTTGTAATGATGTGGAATTACATATTGCAGACTTAAAACTGATTCATGAGAAATTTCCACCATTTCTTCATTTAAAATTTAAAGTAGAAATAGTTCTATGTAAAATAGATGAAAACCAATTAATAAGTCTAATAAGATATATATGATAAAGTAAACTCCATAATATGAAAGAGAAAACCCTTCAGAGAATAAAATATAAACATTTCTAAATAAATTTTGTAACAGGAAACTTTTCCTTACATTTCTTAATAAATTTTATCTATTTAAGCCTATACCACTTATGTGACAATCAAATTATTCTTAAAATCTTAAATTTTCACAATAGCTCATTAGAAAATGACCAAATATATCCTATTTTGGTTCCATTCAACAGATTATCCCTATATTAATACCATAAATATTTTTAGTAAAGATCTCAGGCTACACACAAAACAAATTGTATTCAATAGCCACATATTGGGATAATTAAAAGTAAATATTTACATCTTACACAATGTCTATTGACCCAGTGATTTTATGTTTAAAGGCTTTACAATATAATTGTTTATAAAACCCTATAACAGTTCCCAAATGATACTCTGACATTTTAATGAGTATTGTACAGTATTGTGAAGTTAAATCTTCGTTAGCCTAAAGTAAATAGAAGCATATGCTTCGTCTGCTAAGTAAAGGTTCCAAAGTATTCAATTTATAACTAGCATTTAAATAAAGGCTCTGCTTTTACTCTGTGATGTTTCATTAAACCATGAACAGCAAATAGTAATAACGTAACGAACTCTCTATACTTCTTATATAATTATCTGATTTATCCTTCCCCAACTGGTTCATCATTTTTTATAATCAACCTGAGGTATGTGTGATCTCAGTTCTTCATTGGTCAAAATTCAATTATGAAGTCAAATTTTCTTGTTTTCTCAGAATTTGCTATTGTGATGTCATGAAAAAAGACGACCATGCTTGATGATGTCATATAGAATGAACACATATTTTTGCAGATCATTGAAAAAGAAAGATAAAATTATGTCTACAAATTGTCTAATAATAATAAAGGAGAAACAGATCCTCCCACTGAAACGCGTGCAATACAATATTTCTCTACTCTGGACAGATAAATTTCAAATACTTAAAAAGCTTGGTAAGCCTCATGTTTTAAATATGAACATTTAACTGTCTAGAGAGTGTAGAAATATCGTATCACACTCCATGAAGTGATAATACTTATATATTTCTCTAAATTCTTCATGCATTTAAACCCTTCTAACCAGTTCAGACCAGTTTAATATCTTTTTTTTACAAACGAGATGTTGATTAAGTTTTTACTATGATTTCCCTTCTTGTCCAGACTTCACGCTTAACCACATGCCCACCAGCAGAGGCTTGTAAAATTTCAGTAAGCCTTTAAAAATAAGGTCTACAGGCCAAAAGAATTTTTGTTAAAATTGAGTTTCAGGTCTGTAGATTCAAAGTTAATCATGAAGACTGCTTATATATAAATCTTTTTGGAATATCATAACTTGAAATTTTCATTAAATAATTCTACCACTTTAACATTTATTAAGATATCTATCAATTTTTTATAGTCAAAATTTCAAAATGCTGGGCAGCTCACATTTTTTCTCTTGAGTGAATAAATATCATTATCATTTGACATTAGGGTGTTTTTGTGCAGAATCTAAAACTTTTTCACAAAAAGTTAACAATTTATATCTTGTGCATACAAACTGGACATTATAAGAAAGAATGTTGGGTGCAAAAAAAAAAATAAGAGTCTTCTAAGAAAGATGTGTGTCACCTGACCTCTCCATATAATTAAAGTAGAAATGGCAAAGTCCATGTTTAGGTATGGAAAATCTGGTTGAATTGCATGCCATTTTCAAGGAGTTCTCAAAATAAGCAATCTCAAGCAGAAATGGCAAAGTCCATATCTTTGGTATGGGAAACCCAATAATCATCAGGATAAACAAAACAAACATGACAAAATAGCCAATACACAACATCATGTTCTGTAGAAGAATCTCTGCAGGTTTGGCTGAATTGTGTCCAGCTCTTTTCAAGAAATTTTTGGACTAACAAAGTGTGAAATTTAAGACATGAAAGACATTAAGTGTTGCCACAGCTGTACGTTGTCAGGAAACACAAAAATTCACAAGGTACTCTTGACAGCAAAATCTTAAATTTGGAATGTTTGGACAAATCAGAAATGCAAGGTAAACTTTGATTAATATTGGAAGGGGATTCAAAAAAGATAAAAAGGTAAAATCCTCACAATATAGCTGATATTTGTAGTGGTACCCTCATAAAAAATTTGTGGAACAATAAATGAATTGAAAGATTATGAATTACATGTAGTAAATTTTGCATCCTGAAAAGTGGGTGGACCTACATTGAGAAAAAAAATCTTGCAAATATTGGAACAGAAGGTTGTGCCTACAGGGTTTTAAATAAACTGCTTCGCTGAGCGCAGCTGGATACGCCCGCAGAGGTCCAACCCTGAACAGTTGGGGCAAAAATGGACACAATATTCAAGCTTGATACAGGTCTGAATTTGGATTGTAATTAAATATTTGACATATTATAGGTTTCTGAATAAATGTAGTCAAGGAACTTGAAATTGGTTATATGAATTGAATTTATATTCAATTAAAGATTTCTTGCTGTTGTGCAATACACTGTGCTGTTGCGCAATACTTAGTAAATCTGTTGTCAGACTATAAACAAATAAAGTTCAATTTCTTCTCAATGTCATATTTGAAATTTATGAAAATCAATAGGGAGATTACATCAATAGCTATAAATAATTCACCAAAGTTTCATGAGAACTGCTGAAAGCATTTTTGAGTTATTGTCCAAAAACTGGAAAATCCCCCCTTTTTTAATGAATAAAACCCAATAACTCAGAAATGTAAAATCTAAAATTTATAAAATTCTAAAGGGAGCTTACATCAACAGATATAAACAATTCACCAAAGTTTCATGAGACCTGCTGAAAGCATTATTTAGTTATTGTCCAAAAACTGGAAAATCACCCTTTTTTTCATGAATAAAACCCTGTAACTCGGAAACGTAAAATCTTTTATGAATAAAACCCTGTAACTAGGAAACTTAAAATCTAAAATTTATAAAAATCGAAAGGGAGCTCATGTCAATAGATATAAACAATTCACCAAAATTTTCTTGCAAGTTGGTGAAAGCATTCTTTAGTTATTGTCGGAAAACTGGAAAATCCCCCCTTTTTTAATGAATAAAACCCCAAAACTCAGAAACGGTAAATCTGAAATTTATAAAAAACGAAAGGGAGCTCACATCAATAGATATAAACAATTCACCAAAGTTTCAGGCATATTGGTTAAAGCTTTTTTTAGTTAATTTCCGACATGTTGACGACGGACGGACTGACAGACGGACGGACAGATGGACAACGGTATACCGTAAACGGGTGTATAAAAACTAATGTCCCTTTCAAATTGAATACAATTGTATACATTTATACACGAATTTATAATCTTTATGGACATTCTACAAAATAATAGTGTTCATCAAAGTCTTACCTCAGGGGAGTTGTATCTAAATTCTGCCTGCTTTGATTTCAAATCCCATAATACTATGGTACCACTTTCAAATCCAATAAGAAGCTGAAATTAGAAAATGAATATTCAAAAATAGAATAAAGTATGCAGTACATGTAGACTGCATGGTGTTACACTTTCTGTTATAAGAATAACTTTATAGCAGCCATTGTAACTGATCTGAGGTATAATACAACTGTTGTCAGGTCTCACTGAAATATTCTCCAAATTTCTGCACATTCAGTATACTTTGCTACTTTTCGTCAACATAAATCTGAAGATACTATCAGGCAATCAAAATGGATACATGAAAGTTACAGGACAGACAATACTATGTGCAATAGAAAAATGTAGAAAGGCAAAGTTGTTCTGTTACAAGCACAACACTGGTCTGGTTAATGATACATGTACATGTACATGAACATGAAAGATATAATTATGACTATATTACACATAAAAAATATCTTCAGACTTCACTTCTAGTTAATCAAATATCTAAAGCAAAACAAGCTAATGTACTTTATATACATGGAGATTTTCAGCCAATTGTTTTTTTTTTTTCACCTTTTGATTTAACTAATTATTTAGAAGTTTTGTAATGTTTTTGAACTCATTATGAAAATTTTCAAATCCACAACAGAATCTTAAATTTCATTTTCCAGATAAATTATGATAAAATTGAGATTGGAAATGGGGAATATGTCAAAGAGACAACAACCCGACCAAAGAGCAGACAACAGCCGAAGGCCACCAATGGGTCTTCAATGCAGCGAGAAAATCCCGCACCCAGAGGTGGTCCTCAGCTGGCCCCTAAATAAAATTGTGTACTAGTTCAGTGAAAATGGACGTCACACTAAACTTCAAAACATATAAATGAACTAAAATTAAAAAAACATACAAGACTAACAAAGGCCAGAGGCTCCTGACTTGGGACAGGCGCAAAAATGCGGCAGGGTTAAACATGTTTTGTGAGATCTCAACCCTCCCCCTATACCTCTAGCTAATGTAGAATAAAGAAACACACAGCAATACGCACAGTAAAACTCAGTTCAAAAGAAGTCTGATTCCGATGTCAGAATAGGTAACAAAAGAAGCTAAGCAAAATAACAATGATACATAAATGAACAAAGGACTACTAGCAGTTACTGACATGCCAGCTCCAGACCTCAATTAAACTGATTGAAAGATTATGTCTTCATCATATGAAAATCAAGTACAATCCCTCCCGTAAGGGGTTTAGTATCATACCATCATAAAATATATGAGAAGAACATAACCTGTATAATGCCAATAACTGGTTTTAGAATAAATGTGTTATTTCCGATGCAAAGACCTTATGAGTGAATCAATATTAATACCAAAATATGCAATCCTTAATGACTTGACAATGGTATCGTAACTATATCCTTTCCGAATAAGTCTGTTTAAAGGTTTGGTTAGCTTTTGAGGTGAATGCCGAAATTTTTGTGCTTTGTAAAGAATATTACCATAAAATATTGGATGTGAAATACCTGAACGTATAAGATAAAATTGAGAATGGAAATGGGGAATGTGTCAAAGAGACAACAACCCGACCATAGAGCAGACAACAGCCGAAGGCCACCAATGGGTCTTCAATGCAGCGAGAAACTCCCGCACCCCGAGGCGTCCTTCAGATATCTGCATGTTGATTTATATTTACGAATGATGTCCTTGTACCGATGATAAAATTTAGTAAATGTTTTGACTAGTTTGTGATATCGAAAACCCTGGTGTAATAATTTTTCAGTAATACAGAGATTTCTATCGTTGAAATCAAATACGATAGTTCATGCAGCACGAATCTGACCTTTACAATGTATTTTTTTGTGATGAATAATGATTCTGTATTAATGTTGGATGCATTTGAAACTTTAAATTTTGAGCTAAAGATAAATTATGACCATGGAAACGTTGCCTGTATTTCCCTAGTGGGAGAACAATATACATGTATGAACTGTTACATGGATGATGTTTTGTATCTGTGTGGGTTTATTATTATACTTTTGTAATTGATTTACTGTGTCAGCTGATCTATAATAAATTCATTATGGAGTATTTACCATTGACATGAAACTTTTTTTTATTACAGTATTTGACTGGGGCTTGATTAATTTTGTGAGACCAAAATGCTGGTGTTTGTCGAAATCGTTTGTTTTTTTTTTTCATTTTTATTACCAAATTCAAAAAGGCATTAAGTCAGACAAAACAACATGTTTTTCTACCGCAAACTAGCAACATTGTCATTGATGCAAAGAGACACATGGTATCTTGATTAATTTTGTTGAACCAGAATGCTGGTATTTGTAGAAATCGTCCATTTAAAAAAAAATCTAATTACCAAATACAAAAAGGCATTTAGGCAGACAAAAAAAATGCAAACTAGCAACATTGTCATTGATGTGATGAGACACATGATATCTTATACCATGATGAATCAATGCCTAGGCCATAAGACAAATGTCTATAACCTTTTAAAGACTTATTACATTAATCTTGGATGATAATCACAGTGACCTAGATCAATATTCCTGCCATTCTAAACACCTAATCTGTTTCCTCAACAAAATCTAATTACTAAAAATTCGCCATGCTGATCAATTTTCATCACCGTCCGCTGTGGCGGACAACACTATCCAATCATCTACTACGAGGACATCCAATATTTGTTCAAAGAAATTGAACACCGAATCATACTATCTGTTTAAATTGACGTAAAATCCATTTTCTAAATATAGAAAACTAACTGTTAAATGTTTTGCTACATCATAGGAGAACAGGATGTTAATGTGATGTTTCAACTCAATGTTTTCAAAGAAAGTTCTGTAACAAGACTCAGATCCTTTCATAACTATTATGGAATAGCTTCAAGGTCTCATCTTTGATTTCCATTTGATTAGAGCCTTGATCTACTTTCGCACAAATGCACTGTTTTTTAAGAAAAATTTTAACGCCTTTGGTTTCCCCGAATTGACAATGACATGCTAAAACTTCAATGAATACAGATTAGGTTTCAGAACATATATTCAGTCCTAATCACTTTTTATTTCCATGATCATGATGATAGAATTATGTAATAAAACAACAATGTAGTAATTTAAACTTTTCACTCTCATACCACTGTTTAAATAAGTGTAACAGGAAAAGCGAAATTTGGGCCAGTTTTTGGTCCAGATATATAAAGTTTTTGTGAAAACTTGGAAAAAGAAAGAAGATAAAAAACAAGAGGCTCTCAAGAGCCTGAATTGCTCACCTGTAATTTTTTGCTTAAATCTTTCATCAATGATTATTTTTGCTTTTCAATTTATATTAATGAGTGGCTTAAAAATGCCATTTAAATGTTCTTTGTATCAGTCATATTTTCTTCAAAAGCCAAAAAACGCATTTTACCCTATGTTCCATTTTACCCATTGTGGCTATGTTTCTTGACATATAAGGAAATAAAATATAAAATTTATACTAGATACTCTGAAACTCATTCAGCCCAAGTTTGGCTGAAATTGATTCAGCAGTTTCAAAGTAGAAGATTTCTTAAAGTAATCAAACTAGATGAACAAATTGTGAAAAATTGTCTTTAAAGGACAATAACTCCTTAAGGGTTCAATTGACAATTTTGGTCATATAAAACTTATTTGTAGATCTTACTTCGCTGAACATTTTTGCTGTTTACAGTTTATCTTTATCTATAATAATATTCAAGATAATAACCGAAAACTGCAAAATTTCCTTAAAATCATCAATTCATGGGCAATAACCTAAAAATCAGATACCCGATTTAGCTGATAAGTTCAGGGCAGGTAGACCTTGACCTAATGAATACTTTAACTTCTTGTCTGATTGGCTCTAAATGCTTTAGTTTTTGAGATACAAGTCAAAAACTGCATTTTACCCTATGTTCTATTTTTAGCCATGGCAGACATGTTTTCTGAGGAAACAGAAAATAAAACACAAACTTTATTCTAGATAACCTAAGAATCATTCAGCTTAAGTTTGGTTTAATTTGGTTCAGTATTTTCAGAGGAGAAGATTTTTTAAAGTTAGAAAACATGATAGACAAATTGTGTAAAATTGTCCTTAAAGGGCAATAACTCCTTAAGGGGTCAATTGACAATTTTGGTCATTTAAACTTATTATTAGATGTTACTTTGCTGAACATTTTTGCTGTTACAGTTTATCTTTATCTATAAAAATATTCAAGATAAAAACAAAAAAAACTTAAAATTACCAATTTAGTGGCAGCAACCCAACAATGGGTTGTTAGATTCATCTGAAAATTTCAGGGCTGATAGAACTTGACCTAATGAACATTTTTACCACTAGTCAGATTTGCTCTAAATGCTTTGGTTACCCAGCTGGAGATCTTTCCAACAACCTCTCACATGCTACCACAAGACTACTAAATAAGGCAGTCAATGGAAAAGGAATATCACCTCATGTTCAAAACACATTTAGTATTTGCAAATAAGAAGTGACTGTATTGAAGAATAGCAAACTTGATTGTGATACAAATCAACATGTATGCTTGAACCTATAATGGTTTACTTTTATAAATTGTAACTTTGATGGAGAGTTGTCTCATTGGCACTCATACCACATCTTCCTATATCTATTGAAGATTTGCAAACTTGATTGTGATACAAATCAACATGTATTTTGATGAAAATTTGAAGTTTTTTTGAGTGTAGGAAATTTAACACTGTCAAGAAACAGAAAGTACCTGCATGGCAGATTTATGCTTATTCAGCATAATTCAACATTATCTAGTTCCAAGCATGGTTGGCTTTGGCTATTTTTTTTAGTATAAAAATAAGAAGATGTGGTATGATTGCCAATGAGACAACTCTCCACAAGAGACCAAATGATATAGGTTCTTTTTGGTCATATAGCTCTTCAACTGTTTCGGTTCTTATACATCCTTGGCTTTCAAATATTCAGCTTCAAGAGAAAGGTAAATCCAGGAAAGTACATCTGTTGCATGAAATTTATGAAGTGTTGTTTTCTTCTTTTTTTTAATAGACAAGTTAAGCCTTCCAATTGATATTTTATAG